TAAACCTATTTATATGCGGGTCCCTCGGGTCCGCCCCATTCGAAAAGGCCTCGGTGGCTGGGAGGCTGGTGACGCAGCCAGCCTCCCGCGCGGCGTCCCCCGCACGCACTTTCAGACCTGGCTCTCTTGCCGTCTCAAGCTTGAGCTTCCTCGTTTACCTTCCGCGTTTCGAGCATGCGGGCTGTGACGATTATACATCTACGGCATCACTCGCCTTGTTGCAAAATGGCAGCAGCGGTGAGAGTGATTGATTTAAAAAAATGTCGGAAGCTGTTCATTTTTGACTGCGAACCGCTGGCGACCAGCTCCAGCGTCGGCGAGTTACGGACGAGCTCGCCGTGGTCACCATCGTCCGGGAGTATCTCGCAGGGGCACGCAGGATGGAAGGTCAACGGGCCGGGGGCGAGAGCGAGAATAGCGTTCGGACGTCCGGGTTGCCGAGTTGCGTGAGCGGTCTTTCCAAAAAACGCTCCTAGGCCGCCGCCATGTTGCTGATGCTGATGCGGCTGGTGTGACTCTCGCGCCCTCTATCAGCTAGGAATTTTCTGCCACTCTCTTGGACTGTGAAGACCCACTCAGCGCGGTTCTCTACCTACGTTTTTGCGGTTCTACATTCGACGTTTTCTCGCACTTCTTGAAAGTTTCCACTTAATGTTTTTTATGCGTGCTGCGTACCCTTTTTGTGTTATCTTCCATTGTGAGAAATAAGGCTGGTAAGTGCCTGCCATTCAAGCTTTTCTGCTCGACATTCACGGGAAACGAAGAAGGTGAAGGGCGTCGAACGACCCTCGACGCGATTTTGCGAACATCGTTCTCCCCCCTCCCAGAGATAATCCGCGTAGAATCCTCAGTCATCTCCAAAAATAGTTGTTCGGGTTGGGGTGAGAAACGGGTCAGTCGCGTTTGTTTCTTTGCCTTGGTGCGGTTGTGAAAAAAGGAAGCTCTCCCCAAAACGAAGTCATCTCGGATTCCGTCCGTTCGTCAAGATGTGACTGTCGTCGACTGTGATTGTGTTATTTGAGATCTTTCTCAAATAAATTCTTTTCGGATAACGCTGCATCATGTTGTTATTGTATATATTGTTCGAATGTTAAAGGGATACTTCAACGAAATTGAAATATTCCCGTCGTGTTCAAAAATAGGTTGAATATGATCCACAATATCCGTAAATGACAATCACACGTTTGTATTTTGATCCTGGTGGCTGTATTTTTCGTTATAAACGGCCCACTCTAGCAAGCGCTCGGAGAAGGCCCAGCTTAGAGCACGTGACATCCAACGCAATCGTGACGTAGGTCGTCTCAAGACGAGCAAAGCTACGGCGAGGCTGACGTTGAGAGGATGGCCTAGTCGTTCCAGCCACCGAAGCGGCTGCTTTTGTACGAATTTTGAGTGACGGGTTAATCTTCTATAATCGTCTAGGGGGACAATAGCGACTTCTGCGACACACAAAAGGGATTCTCGGGAAGAGGGGAGTTCCTCCTTTCCCCCTTCTCTCGTCGTGGCCGGAGACGAGACAACCTCCGTCACTAGCTGTCAAGGTTCCTAGACGAGCATTACAAACGAGGCGTTAGCGACATCCACCAGGTGCTCTTTGCTAATCGTTTAATTCGTTTTAAAATTCCTTTTCGAGACTTTTTTAACAAGATATTGGTATGTTCCATGTGATACTGCTCTTTTGAACACATATAGACCAAAAAATGAGCGCCGAAATTTCGTTGTAGTATCCCTTTAACACTTCCTCAATTGTATGTCCGTGTCCTGTCCATCGGTAAACACGTTATTTGTGAGCGTGAAAAAGGCATGCCTTTCGGCCCTCTTCTGTTGTTATTTATTTTTGACAGCAAAGCGCTTTGTCGTTTCGCATGCGGCGAATCCCGCGGCGCCGTCAAAACTTACCGTAAGAAAAAAAACAAATAACGAACTATGCATTCCAGTCGCATTCGTTCTGTCGCGCGCGTACCCAACAAAAATTGTTTACAGTTTATTTATTTATTTTTTTGATGTGGCACAATGCTTTCTCAATGTCCTCGGGAAAATACATGTACAATGAAACACAAAATATAGCGGGAAAAGACGAGAATTTAGCCGCCAGCAGCGTTTGAAACTGCGCCTACGCAGGCTGCGCCTATTGAAATCACAGTCCACTCGGTTAGGGTTAAGAGAAACGCCGGTGAGAGTCCAGCCTCGAACTCAGTGACTGGGCTCGAAAACGGTTTGTTGTCGAGTGTTTTTTGGAAAGGTGTATGCCGCGGCAAGGAGAGCTTGGGCTATCATGGGGGCGCCTAGAATGAGAGAGCGTTCATGGTCACGTGGTTTATAGACACCATGGTGCAACTAACTCGGGCAGTGTTGCCTGGTCGCTAGATGAAAATAATTTCGTAAATTGATGATTGCAACTACCAGAGCTCTAAAAATCGCGTAACTTGGCGGTAGCCTATGAGCATTCCATTTCAAGAATAATCTTATCCGTTTAATTTTCGTGTCATAACCCCTTTCTTTAATCATTAGGAAAGCCGAACACGTGCACATCGGGCTGTGACATCACGTGACGCCGCGACGGCATGTGACACTGTTGAAACCGTGACGTCCCCCAATGTGTAGCATGACGTCACGCGACACTCTGGCGTCAACTGATGTAACTACGTGATATCGTGACGCACGATGCCAAGTGATCTGACGTCACGTGGTCACGTCATATCAAATGACACCATGACATGATATGACGTCACGTACCGCAAAAACGTCCCGAAGACTTAACACTCCGCGCGGTTATCCCTGGAATTAGCAACTGTATACACACTGGCAGAAACTACCGAAACACCAAAGGTTTCATATAATGTTTCGTTATTTTGTTATTTTAAAAGTACGAGAAGTAATCCGTAGTTCGAGCAAGATATTCATAATATTCAGTTAAAACAAGTTACACATTTTAAGCACTTTTTTTGTTTTGCTAATAATTCGAATTACGAGATTATGTCTTGTACATTATTATTTTCTGCCGGCTGTTATGCGGTGTATATGCCATAATTGCTTATTGTTTATTGTTTTGCGTGTAACTGATATCTATAGATGATATCACCATACTATAACATTACTATGTGGGTTCGTAAAAAACACAAACCCACTCAAGATTTTTTTTTTTTTTTGGGGGGGGGGGGGAGGGTTTTTTTGTACGTTCTTTTTTTTTTTGGCACCATGTAATTTCTGCAAGTTCAAATAAAATATGATCTGATTTGAAAACATATCTTTGCGGGAATCAAAAAGTTATGAAAACCTACGTTCCCAGGTCCCAATCAAAAACAACCCTATGATATACTTCTCTTTCTGAAATGCCATCCAAACAAAGACCATAAAACGCAGATGGAAAATTTGAACGGGATTCGTCCCCGAGTGTGGGCAACAAAACAAAAGTATCGCTTTTTTTTTTTTTTTTTGCTGCCTAATTTAAGGAATAAAAAAAAATGCTCCCCCCCCCCCCCCCCCCCTTCCCACCCCTACTGCGCTCTTCCGTTTCAAATGTCTAAAAATAACTTGTACAAACGACTGATTTTTTTTTTTTTTTTGTTACGGAAAAATAACTGTTAAGCAAAAGAAAAAAGAAGCATTTAAAGGAGCGATGCAACAATTTTTGTACTTTGCGCAAATACCGTTTAAAACGGATCCATAACGTTAATGACCTATGAAACACGCGTTCGTTTTTCACCCCACGCAATAGAAGTCCCAGAAAAAAATTAAAGAAAATCGAGCTGCGTTAACCCCCTCAACTCGCAGCCAGAACAAGCGGCCACGTGATCTGGAGCCGATTATATGCCGCCAGTGTTGATCATAGCCACGCGCTGGGGTTGGCAAAGCGCAGGACACGCGCTGAGTTCCAGACATTTTTATGGCTCGGCTGTTGTCGTCGTTGCAGCGATTGGACACGGGTCACTACCCCAATGCTTCTCCAGCTTGCAATTATCACGAGCCCAAGTCGAGTGCCCACGCAATGCTCGGCTCCAATCTATGAACCGCATTCAAATATCGTCACTTGGGTGTGCTGCGATCCCCGAGTTACGTCATCAAATTTTGCAAAGGAGAGATTGAATGAAAATTATCGCTTTTGTCCTTGAAATTACACCGCAACAAAGGAGTTTCTTGGCCAGTGGCGTTGCATGTGAGTATCCTTGAGTCCCAGGTGTGCCAGTAAGCTCGTGTCAAGTGAAAAACATTCTAATTGAATATCGTTGCACAGCTCCTTTAAGTATTCTCTGTAGCATCGTACAAGGTTTCGATCGGAACACAACTTCAGCTGCGATATTCCCAGTGTCGACCAAAGAACGACTCAATAGCCCTGAAGTCAACGTAGAGCACTTAATTTGTCGCGCCGGAGCTGGAAGTACGTACCCCGACCAGAGACGAGTGACGAGAACGAGCGAACACACCAGCGAATCACGCATATGCTCTGAGCAGCACCAGACAAGGGGGAAAGGGGGATCGAAAAAGAAGATGCAACCATATTTGATGCAACGCATGCAACGTCTATTTGGAGGAGGGCGCCATTGTTTGGTTGTCTCCCAAAGCCTAGATTTACGAGAGGGAGCAACCCATATCACGGAAAACGTTTGCAATTTAATGGCGGACATCACCCGCGCAGATTGATAACTTATGCGCATGCGTGCATCACGGCGTGGTGAGAATAAGCGGCGGTCGCAATAAGCTGAGCTAAACTCGGAGACGCTCGACCGACGCTCTCGCCTCCTCCTCGCAGCTTGCATTGCAAACGCGACCCGTAAACCACGTTGGATGCACTCTCGAATCTAGGCGCGCTACTCTCCCTAGGTCTCCCCATCTCTTTCCCCTATCTTCCGCCCTCCGTCTCTGAGAAAGGGGAGAGAGACCAAGCGTGGCGCTGCGTAGCGCCACCGCGCCGCTCCTGCCGAGAACCTCGCTCCACCAGCATGCCTCACCCGACCAACAGCCATCCACCCGGCGCGCCTCGTCGCATGTTCGGTAACTTCGCCAGCTGGAAACTCAGAACGCGATACATGCTCTCGCACTTCGGCTTCTTCTTCAGCCAGTTCGGCAGGTTCATCGCACCCGCCTACTACCATGACCGCTGCGAAAGGTAAGGCGCACTTCGAACGCGTCGTCGCTTCGACCCATCGGGTCCCCGCGCCGCCCAAAGTGCGTCGTCGCTTCCATGGCTGCTCGCGTCGGCCGCGGAGAGGGGCGGCTCTAAGCAAAACTAGCGGCGCCTCGCAAGTGTCCCCAGGTTTCAGCCGGCAGCGAGGTCCTTTGAGCGAAATACATATTAATCACGTAGTATCTCGTTTTGCAGCGGTAGCTCTAGCACCGCCCGGAGGCAGTGTGACGTTTTGTTTACCTACAGAGCGAAACATCCGGATTAAAAGTGCTGCTTGAGGGTCACTTCTCCGCTGATTGTTGTCGTCATCCCGATTCGTAGAAGGAGTGATGCAAGAACGAAATATGAAACGCTATAAAACCAAGAGCGATGTCTGTTATGCTTAGTTACTAACTACGGCGATAGTGTGGTCGGTATCGATTTTGAGACGGAAAGAAGTTAGTCACGCGAGCACTTTCGCGGTAAAACCATCCGGGTTCCGGTTATATTAGGAAGCATAAAAAGTGAGCGTTCGCTTCACGACTTTCAATGAAACTATATCGGTTTATTTTTGTCATTAAAGGCAGATAGTAGTGTTGGAAGTAGATTATTGCACCGTTCAACCTTGCAGCGTTGCGAAGAGCCTCCGGCTCCTGCGCGTCAGGCTCCGCCGCAGCTGTACCCACCATGCGGCTAAGCACGAGTCTCAGGAGCCTACGGCGGTTTCCCGCCCCCGATTCCCCCACTTCGAGATCAAGGCAAAACTAAACGTGTATTGAGGCAAGCTGTCGCGACTTTGTAAACGTTTACGCACATTAAGATGCAGTAAGGCCGTCACAATAACGTAAACACGTCTGGTATCCACTTCAAACAACAATAAAAAACTGTTGAAGTTCCACTTTCCTTTTCATATTATCCTTTGCACATAATGGTTGCACTTTCCTCCCACGTCTAACAGTCCTCGTTGCGACAACGTTTTGTTTCCACTAACTAAAAAACAAAAGGTGTCGCGTGAAATGGTTTGTTTTTTTCCTAATTTATTTCTGCCCAAACGATAACATGCTATCAGATGCAGAAAACAAGTCGTTTAGCACTCTGCGCGCCCGCATCTGACACGGAGCATCTGACCCGTAGGCGCTACTCCTGCTCCAACCTGATGACCCAATTTAGGTGAATTTGACAGGCCGCGCTTATCCGTCACGGGTAGCGTAGCGGCGGCGCCCTTGCATCATTCCCAGTGTCTCGGCTGCCCGCATGAAGCGTGCCGATGCAATCTGCTTTCCCCTTTGTGTGCTTTTATAAAGCCATATATGCCGCACTCCGTGTTAGAGAAAAAACAAGAAAACAAACAAACAAACAATAAGTCTATTAGCAATGCTCTTTGCCCGTCTAACAACGCCATTTATTATCTCTTTCTCTCTCTCTGATCTAGCAATGATTAGAGGGAAGATGAAACTTGGTACTCGATATTTGCGCGTGTTTGTAACTCACCCTGGGGACCATCGATAGAGCGCTTCGCTGGGCCTTGCACGTTCCCAAATCAACTCCGCAGAAGCGTTTACGCACGTAAATTGCCTTTACACGCACTTTTTGCTCAAATTAAACAGTGATAGGATCCCCAAATCGAGGTGTGCTTCCATTAATTTTCCGGAGGCATCCACCACGTTATATGAAATGCGAAACATATATACCAACTATCGACGAGAGTTATTACGAACTGCCTCACAAAAATGAGCCTTAGATCACTCGAAGCCGGTGACAGTGATTCATCCGGCTTAATTGCTTCACCGAATACGTCCGAATCAAATATGCTCGCTTATATACGTCTCTGCGTAACAGGCCGGGACACAAGACCTATGCAGAGCGCAAGTTCGTCCGCTTCTTGCCCAGGGCTTGTTGTGACGTCAGAACGACGAGCTCTGATTGGCTCCGATAGTGGGTAGAGCTCAATGCTAAAGGAACTTGCGCTCTGCACTGTGGTACTCGGGATACACAACCGCGGTGTCTTTAGCCAGTTGTTTATCCAGAATTTTCCTTTCTTTTTGGCCGGGGGAGGGGGGGAGGGGAGGGGGGCAGGCGCTGATATATAAATTATTGTCTTTCGCATATTCCGTGGTCTTCCCTTCCTCCCTCTTAAGTACAGACATCGTCGCTGCTGTATCGTCGAAAGCAAGACTTGCATGACGATACTGTGCTTGTATAATCATTAGCCAATAGTGCTATTGTTTCGGTTATCTTTCTCCTTTCTGCCGCATTTTCATCCTGTTTGCATGGAGAACGAGTTCGGAGCTTCCTCCTCCTCCGCAGGTCGGTCCAGATGCGGTTGTACACGATGCACAAGCGCGAGTTCGTGGTCGTCTTCCTGGTGTTCTTCGCCTGCCTCTGTCTCTGCCTGTTCGTCGGCCTCGCCGGACCGCCCATCACCTCCACGGTCGTCCGCACCGCCTCCGAGCTCACGCCTCCCGGGGAGAACGTCACGAGCGTCAACATGGCCGTAAGACTGCGCCGAGCTGAACAAAAAAAAAGAACAAATGAGATGGCCGAGAGCTTCCGTTGTCCCGCATGCAGCGCGAGCCTACTACCTGCGATAACACGTCGGCGCCTCGTGCACCTCTCGAGCGCACTCCCGCAGCCAAAGCACGGCGGTAGACATGGACGTTCTGAACCACGGTTAAAAGCGCTAAAAAGATAAATACAAGAGAGAAGACAAACACAGGCGCTCGCGGCCTCACCAACTAGCCCAACAAAAAGTACTTTTACGGCAGACACGGAGCGGGTGCCGGAGGCCGGGCGTTCCTAAGACGCCGCCCTGCAGTCCTCGTTTCGTCGGAGACTGACCGACGTCGTTGTAACAGCCGGACCGCGTTGGTTTCCGTGTCGAGAAACTGAACAACCTGTTGGTCATGTATGGGCGTGCGTAGACCCGGTTCGTTGTAACAGCTTAATGCAAAGAGATGGTGTACAGCTTATCTACATTGGCCTAAACTAATTTTTGTGACAGTGTTCCAGTTATTTGACCAATTAGAGCGTGCTGTTAAAGTTACGCGGATAAAGAAAAACAAAATGAACAGCGGAAAGGACAGGACAAAACATGTTTTGCCCTGTCCTCGGTTTTTTTTTTTTTTTTTTTTTTTTTTCGCTGTTCAAGTTGATTTTTTTTTTTTTTTATCCCCGTAACTCCCACTTATGCTTGCTAAGGAACATTAGTTTACTAAATTTCTTAACTTGATTCAGATGCATGCATTCGGAGAGTCCAAAAGTGGTCTTATATCGTTTTAGGAAAGTTTCAGAACCCGATAAGCGTTTTATAGGCGAAATAAGCGAACAAGTTATAATAGCTACCAGCCATACAAGAGGATCATTAAAACATATTAGACAATAATTAAGACACCCGCGAGTGTTGTAGTCAAGTATAAATGGCTAAACATAGTATATCAGTGTCTCAATTTTAAGACAGTGAAATCAGCAAACCTATTCGCAGTTTTGCGAGGCAGGTGTCTTCATTGTCACATTTCAGACAGGTCCTTTTGTCCTCAAGACGCCGCCACTCACCGCCTACAGTCAGCAACTTTGGGTCATTGCACAGATCAGCATGAAGGAAGAAGATGGTAATTGTGCATTCTGCTTTCTCTCTGCGCATTTTAACAACCGCCGACATACAGGGTGTTTCCGGAAACGTGGGCAAAATCCTCTCCTGCAAAAACCGCGCATCGCACAGAAAAAAAGGTTCATGCCATAGTGGTCTATGACAAAGGGCCCATTAAGGAAAGCTTTCAATATAATTGAGTAATTAAATTGGTTATTGATATTAAAGGAATGGTTTAAATTAGAATCTTGTTGGGCATCATCGAAAGTTACTAAATATATCCACATTGTAATGATGTAAGGCACGCGTAACATCCTACGGCGCTCCGAAAAGAATGCTCAATTTGAACGTGTTTCTGGGTTTCAGTTTCTTGTCGGAGTGCATCACCGCTCGGGCAATCCCACCCTCCATGTCTAAAACGCGCAACACAGACGTCAAAAAGGCAAACCTCATGCGCGTGTTAGACACGGGCGGCGGGATTGCCCGCGCGGAGATGCGCTCCGATAAGAAACCGAAACCCAGAAATGCGTCCAAATTGAGCATTTCTTTCCGAACGCCGTAAAATGCTGCGCGTGCCTTACATCATTGTAACGTGGGTGTATTAAGAAGTTTTCGATAATGTCCGGCAGCATTCCCTTTAATATCAATAATTAACAATTACTTAAAATTAATTACTTAATTATATTTAACGGTAATCCTTTTCCTTACTAGGTCATTTGACACAGATCACTACGAAATCAACCTTCTGTGCGACGCGTAGTTTTCGAAAGAGCGATTTTGCCCAGCGTTTCCGGAAACACCCTTATATATAATCACCATAAAAAGTTAAAAACTTTTTGCTTATTGTAACTATGTTATGTTTCAGAGGATGAAACATTCAGAAAGTCATTCCACGTCCGAATAAAGATCCAGGGTATCACAACGAAAGGTCAAGTGGTGGATGTCTCTGGAACAACAGAACCGCACATAAGAACACGAGAATTGGTGTGTTCCGGAAAAGTAAGTGTGTTAGATTTTGCCTTTTATGTGTGCAGAAATTCTGGTTCAGCATTTCGAGTCGATGCTGCAGCTCCCGATACCTCAACAACAGGTGTGCGAGGGTTTCACGGTTCTACACCTGGGCTTCCTGGATTACTCTCGTTATTTACTCACCGTAACATTCTATGGCCTTGAGACGATAGACGAGAAATATCACATTGAAGACGTCACGTTTTATGTAAGTGCATCTCAAATTGCCGTTCAGATCAAACCGCTAGTTCCGTTCATCGGCAGAAAGAGCCATAAATGACCCTATTCGTTTCCATCTAGTACAAGAGCTACAATGCTTCGTTCACACAATTGGAAATCTGGTTCAGGTTTATCTTCCTTCTCGCAACATTTGCAGTCACGGTAAGTAAAACATTGCATCTTGCTTCTGAGTAGTGTTGAGTGCCAGTGGAAAACTAGCATGAGGCATGCTGGTGTAATGTGTTAAAATATGTATATATATAAATAAAAAAAAATATCTAGGTAACTTGACTTTTCAATCCTTCTGCAGTGTTGGTTTGCCCACACATTACGGAGATTTGTGTTCAGAGACTGGTCCATCGAGCAGAAGTGGATGTCGGTTTTGCTACCATGCCTCTTGCTACACAACGGTAAACGCACCATCAACAAGCTCTCTGCATTTAGCCAGAAACTGCCCGAGGGACGTTAAGACCAAAGTTATGTCGATCTCTTCCAGACCCAGTGTTTCCAATGTCGCTGCTGGTGAACAGCTGGGTACCCGGAATGCTAGATGCCATGTTCCAGGCCACTTTCTTGTGTGCTCTGCTGCTGTTCTGGCTGTGTGTTTATCATGGGATCAGACAGGTGAAGTGTTCCTTTTTCTTGTAATCTGAGGCCTAATCACAAAGTATTCTAGGGTGAGACTGAGAAAACGACAAAATGAAGTATTTCCAAGAAAGGACGATTTGTTTTTGCCAACAAATGACATCCAGGAAGGACCAAATGTGGTGCAGTGCATCCATGACTACCCCAGCATCTTTTGCATCTTTGCTGTCCTTCCTTAGTTTTTTTAGTGAACTGCAACTGTCATCATGGATAGGAGCTAAAAGGAATCCCAAATTTCACTTTGGACTCGGCACTCTTTTTTATTGATACGACGCCACAGCACTGTCGCCAAATCAAACCCAGGTCAAATATGAGCTGTTAGCCAATGCAAACTAACCTGCCGAGATAACATAATCGAAAATCAAGTATTTTGTAATGCCTCTTCTATTCTTCGTTAGTGAGGCCTTCCAAAGCCAAACAGTTTTCTAGCATTTTTGTCATATTAAGTCAGAGTGCCATTACAAGCCAGACATTTACTTACTATGAACATAACCATGACGGAAATCTGTGTGGGGAAAAGACAATACCGAAGGTAAAACCCTGACGTACGTGTCCTCTGTGTTTGTCCTGGATTTTTGTGCACTTTTTATTTCATCATAAACCACTAATAACTACCGTTACCCCTTTAGAACGAACCCACTACAACGAATTATTGTCGATATCGAACTCACGAAAAATTTAAATAAAAATGCATGTAAAAAATACTTTTTATAACGAATAAAATTATGGCTATATCGAACTTTTCCCCCTTGGGAAGGCTTCCAAAAACGAGCAAACGATCGTCTTCTAGCCTGTCCCTTCCCCCCAAAAAAAGCTAGGAAAGAAAGAAAATTCCAAAAGCTCAAGTTGCGAACAAAATTGAGCGAAGAGAAGCGATTCAGAAGGGGGAAGAAAGCTAAAAAAATACAGTCTGCATGCATGCACGCACACACACACAAAAGTTTTTTTTTTATTTTAAAGCGTTTGCCCACGAAAAGTGATTCAAAAGGGGAGACAAGCTAAAAAAAAGAACAAGCTCTGCACGCATGCAAAACAAAAAGAAAAAGAAGAAAATGTTTTAGCGTGGGGTTACAAGGCGGAAGTGAAGAGATGAGAAAGAGAGAGAAGCTCTCGCCTTACAACGAAAGCATCGTGGAAGTTTGTTGTAAATGTTTTTTGCTATTTTGAACTGCTTGCTATATCGAACTGATCGTGGCGTTTCCTGCTGTTCGTTATAAACGGGTTTGACTTAGCTTAGCTCTCAACCCTGCTCTAATTAAGGTTTATTAATAAACACAAATCACAACCTTCCGATACCGCTTCACTATCCTGGACGAGAGAAACATGACGTTCCAAAGTGGAGCCTAATATCTGCTACCTTGGTTATTTGGTTTTGTCAACCCACAGATGCAATTGGCGGGTTATGTTTTCTTGCTTCCTTTAACGAACAATCAGTATTTATACTTGTGTTTGTCTTGCTTCTTGATCCAAATAAACTGGTCTTCAGAAGTAGTAGTCCGCAAATTAATTTTAATTGGCCGACACTGCAGAATGAACGACATCTAGCAACTTTCTACCTGCCCAAGCTTTTTGTCGTTGGGATGCTGTGGACGTCAGCCTTTGTCTTAGCTTCCTGGCAACGCTACAACGAACTCAGGGACCCCACTTACAACTACAAGGTGGACACACAAGCATTTGCGGTAAGCCATCCTGCAATTGCTTGCTCGAATATATATACCGTAAAATCCCGTAAGGACGCCCACCCCACATTAAGAGATAAATGGTGAAAAACATGGGGTGGGCTACCTTTGGTGATGCCGCAGCAAAACTTTATCAAAAATTAATGGTAAGCGCGGGGGAACCCGCTACAAACCACGTGACGCGGGAACCAATACCGCAGATCGCGACACGGCGAATTCGCGTTTCACGATGCGATAAACACGCGGGAATTCGCTACAAACTCCTGTGTCACGGGAAAAAAATACCGCAAGTGGCCGACGCAGCAGATTCGCGTGTCACGATGCGAAGGACTCGCGGAAACCCGCCGAGAACTCGCATCTCACGGGAACGAGTGCGGCAGATCGCGGACACAGCAGATTCAAGTTTCATGGTGCAATGAAGACGCGGAAACCCGCTACAATCTTGCCTGTCACGGAAACCGATATCGCGTGCGCAGACCGCGGACAAAAACACGGGAATATGCTACAAACTCGCATGTCACGGAAACAAATGCCGCCGATCGCGGACGCAAGAAAATCGCATTTCACGATGCAATATACACGCGGGAATAACTCGCGTGTTACACGAGCCGATATCGCGCGCAGATTGCAGACAAAAACGCGGGGACCCCGCTATAAACTCGCTTCTCGGACACACCGGTACCGCCGATCGCGCCATTGATGCGCGATTCCCGTCGAACATCGCTTGACGTCCAACGGGAGTCGAAGGGTGGGCGATGTTTCGGAATTTTTATGTTACAGATACTTAGAAAAACGGGATGGGCGATCTCTCGGGGGAGGGCGCCCTTACGGGATTTTACGTAGTTGTCTGCATTAACAAGTAAGAAAAAAAAAACATTGCACAGTTGATAATATTCAAAGTGACAAGAGGAAAATAAAACATAGGTGTTTTTATTTAAAATCCTCCCCATCTTAATCGAAAAATTTAATTTTGATTAAGATAGGGTGCACATGTACTAGATAATAAGGTGCTCATGTAAGTACTAATATTACAATGTGTGAAAATTGAGAACATACCTTGGCCAACCAAATATTGTTAATTGGATTCTTTAGGTTAAAAGTTGAACCCTCTAAACACCCAAAGGGCATAATTTTCATAATGTTCAAAAAGAGTAGCAGCCATGCTCTTTGTCAGTTTGGAGCTAATTTCAGCTTCACCAAGGGCAAGAGAGAGAGAGAGAGAAGCTGATGGAACTGTAAGAAAACAAAAGTTATACTTTTTGAAGCCACCTTCTAACAAAGGCCCTCATGCATAGCAGCTGATGCAGTACCCAAACCTTCTACTATAGTCAATGACAGGCGAAAAGTTCAGGACGCCCCTGCAACCTCTTCCAACCTGAGCAGAGCGATTGCTGGAAGGTCGCCTCCTCTCTAACGTTCGCTCTGCTAAAGTGGAAAGCGACTATAGACATACATGCACAGACTATAGATATGCATGCACAACTTGCATTTTCTAGGTTCATAAAAGGAGGGCAGTAGCAACCATGAAACAAGCATGGACAAGATGTGCCACCAGTCTCTAACAAAAGAGCTCATCTTGTTTCACTGCAGGGGCTCAAGATATTCTTCTTCACCATGGGATCCATATACCTTGTCTACCTGCTGTACCTTGTGGTCCAAGCATACACAGAGCTTAGGTCTATGCCTTATTTTGGTGAGTGCATTTTATTTTCCATTCCATATGCCAGGGAGTCTATAACTTCCCAACCTCGAGAAAGCCTTGACAACCCTGAATGGCAGCCGTGGAACCCCCCCCCCCCCCTCCCCCCCCCCCCCCCCTTCAGTCTCGGCATTGAAGCCGTAAAGCAGTGCGGAAGCTTAGAAACACAGTGATGTGATTGGTCAGAGTAATTTTGAAGCACTCTTTGGAGCAACCAAAAATCCATTTTGGAGTAGATAAAACTTTTGGAGCATACGCACACATTTCATTTTCCTCAATACCACTGCAAATAGAATGTTCAGATTTCTGTTGGCCTGTTGAACTGAAAGACGGTGTTGACTTTGCCTTTCCACTTTTGTGAAACCTTTCGTAAGTGTCAGTTGCACGGCAGGTTTGATTCCCTTGAACACAGAATATGCTTAGTTGTGCCTAGAAGCAAAAACGCGGCAACTAGATATTGATTGATAAATGACATGAGCTGGAGTGCACAGTTAATATTGGTAAAGAATCAAGGATAACGCAAATAGTATATTTCACTAAAATAATGATAACAGGATAATTGAATGCACGTATATTGATGTTTTGTTCAAGTTCTAAAGATTCTAATAAAACTGCAATTCTTAAATCAGATTTTAATAATGTTTATCCCTCCTCCTCTTAAAGGGACACTGACAGGGTATTTATGCTCGCCGAGGTTTTGATTTGTACGTGACATATGAGAGCTCAACTACCCAGAACAGAATTTGCGGCTCGAAATTCGGTTTCTTTCCGCCCGAAAACCGCCGATCAAGAACTGGTCGGTTCGAGTCTCGCTCACTCTCTTTTCCGCGGTCACGGGCCGTTTTCTAAGGTATCGATGCGACCACCAAATTTAATCAAAGTCGTAGGTCACTGAAGGCACACACTCAATATTAAAAATAGAAAAAAATATGAAACCAACTTTTTGTGGCTTCTAAAAAGCTGCAAATACGTTGATTGAAAAAAAAGTTCCACAGACAACCGGAAGCATTCTGTGCGTTCGTCTTTTCGCGTATCGTGGTACTCGCGGGGACGGCGGTGGCAGCGGACGACGGGCGTGGGACCTCTATTTCAGAACTGTCGTTCGCGGTACCGGCGAATTCTGTCTACCTTTAAAAGAGAAATTTGGGACTGATCAAAAGAATTGGTATTCATCCCGTACGACACGGCCGACCACCAAGCCGATTTGCACGAAGACTTCGCCGAGCCGTCGCTCCCTTCTCGTGGCTGAAGACATCGCTTGCGCAAACGTCAAGCACGATGTGTCTACTTCGAGTTGAATATGCACGCGTACGATTTCTTTACAAGGTGCGAATGTCGCCAATGCGTGGTGCTTCCCGACTTCGACCCGGGAGTGCTTTTGCTAGAGGAAAATCGGCAGCTAACTCCAACTTACAGTTTACCGGCTGAATTATTACTAAGAAAAGAGATCCCGTGACGAAGCGTTGCCCCGTAGCTCAGTGGGAAAGACGCCCGCTTCACACGCGCTAGAACCGGGTTCGATCCCCGTGAAACCTTTTTTTTTATTTTTTGATGTTTACATATCTTTTTTTTTTTTTACAATTATCACTGAAGAAACAAACACAAAAATAACAAACATATGTTGTGGACGACACTTCGCTGAATTAAATGGTATGGGATTTCCTTTTTGACACCTGGGAACTCAATGTAATCACTTTCCACAAAATGCAAGGAGCATATAAATCAGGTAACGTCCGCTTTCCGAGGTGTCCGTATATGTTCTACAGGAATTGCAGCCAGCCATTGGTTCCGATCCCGTTGATCTTTCGAAAACTCTGTCGCACAATGCCCCTTTTTTTTTTCGGACGCAGGACATGTGAGCCAGCTCTTCACGCAACATCTTGGGTGTATTCTTTTCGGAGCCGATCATGGAAATTCACCACGGGCACTCACTACTCATCTCCAACTTCTCAATGTACAAAACAACTCATCTTGGAGTTCAGAACAACGAGCGGAACAAACATAACTCACGGTGAACAGTTCCCGCACGCCGCATCGCACGCCGCATGTCCTGTCGTCTGCTACCGGAGAGGAGAAAAAAAAAAAAAAAACGCACGGTCGGGTGTAGCCACGTGACTTCCGCCAGTCACTCTCTTCTCTCCACTTCTCCGACCTCCGTCGGGTTTCGGTTTCGGTTTCGAGCAGTTGCGTCTTTTGGCTTTATTAAAAAAATACGCTACGCTGTTGCAAAATATTAATTGGGTAGTCCTCCGACACCATAATGAAGCGCCTGGCAAAATATGAAAAAAAAATTTTGGGGGGTGTCAGTGTCCCTTTAAGTCAGATAAAAAAAAAGCTGCTGTATTTACTATGAACATCAATAACATTTTATGTCTAAAGCTTACAAAAATTGCCATGTGAATGACAGATATAAGTGCTATTAAAAAACAATCCCACCGAATTCGTTAAAGGAGCTGTGCAACAATTTCAGGGCTTTGCTTAAATAATTGTGGAAGTTGATGCCTGACACTTCTGCAGTGTACAGAAAACAGATTTTGCCTCGACACCCTAGTTTTTATTTTAAAAAATAAAAAAGATCCAGGTTTTTGCCGCCTCTCAACTCGTACATCGTCTTCCAGGTCACGTGCGCAGTGACGTCACTTGAGTAGGCGCGGGGTTCCGGAAAAGTTCTCTCTTTAGAGCCATCAGCAAGCAGCGAGAACTCATCCGCTCGCGGCCGCGTGACCACGTGCTGGCAGGCGCCCCGCGAAATATACGGTGAAAGGAGGAAAGTCTCATCCGGGTCCGGTCATACCCGTCCTTGTCCGTCCGGCGCCGTTTCCCTCCCCCTCCAGCTCCTGGCGGCTATTCGCGGTTTCGTGGACCTAGGATAGATGGCGCCTCTAAAACTCCGTATAATAAAAGTTTTGTCGATGATACCAGGGTTTTAACGCATTTATATATATGTTGGAACGACAAGATTTATAGAAAAGTTACCTTTTATCGAGCAGGTATTTGCACAACTTGCTATCTTTTTTACAACTACCCAAGTGACGTCACGCCGGTTGTTTCTCATGGCCGCCGCTCGTGGCTGCAGGTCGAGAAATATTCTAAGTTTTGCCTCGCTATTACGCGGCGGAATCGCAACATTTCGATGAAAGGAGGTGTGTTTTCTGCCATTTGTGACACAGTGAACAATATCAAAAGCAGAAAATGCCAATTCTTTCAACGTTAAAATCGTTGCACAGCTCCTTTAAGGTTGTTTTGGGGCTTCTGTCCACTGCTCCAGATAATTGTTTTAGTGTATTCTGTTGACTGTGTTATCGAATAGATATGAAGACATGTAAAGGTGATAACTAAACAAAAGAGTCGACATCAAAAATAAATCGATAGAGCAGTCCACAGAAATCGTTTAGCAATACTCAATTATCCTTGCCGAATCTCACATTTTAAAAATATATTATCAGAATATTGCAGTTCATTATACAATATATAATAGCCATAGCTTTATTAAGAAACCTCGTCATATCCTGCCCTGGAAAGGTGCTTTCCCTTTAGCATGCAAGTGCACTGTGACAAAACAAGATATGGAAAATCGCGATGTCCATTTGGCGATATTCGCTTCATTGTATTGCACAACTGCGTGGTGAGAATCTCACTAAACAAAGCTAGCTAACCTGCTAGGTCAAACTATACGCATAAGGAATATTGTGAAACTTCAGAATACTGTCAGAGTTTGACAGAGATGAAATTAAATAGTGCAGTATTTGACGCTGTAATCAAAAGTTCTGAAAATTTGACAAAGCCTAACGTAGCAATCCGGCCGTGTAGCGGCGCCTGAGCTATTATATTTTAAGTATTTTAAGCGATCTTGACTTTTGGCATCATGTTGGTGCAGATTCCTCAAATATGTTGTAACCAATAATGCAGATTATTAGGCAGTGTCTGGACTACAGTTGAGCACCAATGGGTGGAATTTAATGTGCTAAAACACCACTTAAACTGGAAATATACTTTACTAAGAGACTGGGAGAGTTGGGGAAATTTCTGAATTCAAGGAAGCAATAGGGCATTCTGGGGAACACCTGCGATCCTCGGAATCCAGTAAGAGAAGCAATTCCATATGCAACGTAAAGAAATAGTTTTTGCGGTCAGTAGAAACAAAATTCGAGGCAAAATCTTCTATATTTCGGTGTTTTCCGAAGCTTTTCCAGTTACCTATAACGATCAATATCAAAACAAAATTTCTATTTAAAAAAAGAAATCACAAAAAGCACAAGTCCTTAAATCTGCTTCAATAGATGTCCGGCTCAAGTTTATGACGTCGCTGATGCTGATCGTCCTGACGCTGAGTGTGGTCATCACCGTGATGCGGTTCGGCATCTCTGTGCTGGAAGACAACTTTGTGGCCGACCTCTCGACCAGCTACGGGAGCTCGGCAGAGTTCATGTCCTTCTACGGCCTGCTCAACTTCTACCTGTACACCATGGCATACGTCTACACCCCACCTCCAAACGCTTTTCTAGGTAATGACCTTGGCAACAATGGGCTCATTTGATTGACCTGTACCAGCCTGCACTGGTGCAGAAAAGGACAGGGCAATGTACTTCTAGCTGTGTTTTGAGATAGGCTGCAATTGTAAATTGAATACGGCAATCTGCACTGAGTGCAGCTGGTGCAAGTAAATTGAATGAAGCAACCAGCGATTGCAATAATTCCTAGACAAAGCACAAAAGGCGATAAATTGTCCAACACGACTAACACCAAACATTCCGGGTGCTGTACGATTAGGCCCGCCAAGGTACTGTATCACAAAGCTCAAAATGATACCCTCTCACAGTATTAGGGAGTTTTAGAATAGCGTATGCAAAAGATAGCATCGTCGCCACTGCACATGCGCTGAACACCAACCGTGTTTTGCGCTTTGCATGCTCTACCTTTCAGAAATTACGCGTATATAAAAGGTCTTTGCGCTCCTCCAAGGAGGATTCGTGATGTGCGAGAAGTTGACTAAAGCCAAGATGAGCACAGTTAGAAAGTGGCAGCTCCCAGGATCACAACTGCGGCTGCTTTGGCGGTTGTCATGAGCGCAGCGTCGGAAACATCCTCGCTACTGCGATTCTCAATACAAGACGACATTGCACTTCTACGGGAGGTGCACGTCCCAAACGGTTTAGAAGACCCAGCAGGTGGGCAATAATTGCCGGAAACTAGCTGCTAGCGATGCGCAAGCAAACATTTTTCGGTGAACGTTCGTCGGCTACTTGCGCAAGCTCAGTACACGAGACCTCTCGTGCTGAGGGGACGCTTGCGTCCCGTTCTCATGTTTAAACAAATTTAACATGTTACCCTAAGTCAAAAAGCTGCTTCTTTTTTTTTTGGCATGTTACATTATTTTGTGTATGGAATAAAAATTTTTACTCTATCTTGGCAACACTGCAAGCGTGAGACGGTTGGGTCTTTCCGTCACGACGGAGGAACACCATTCTAAAACTCTTTCGTAGCATGCACTAATGCAAGCTAAATTAAGCGCTAGCGCGCACAAAAAGTGCATACATTATTCTAAAGCTCCCTACTAAACTTATTTGCAGAGGGAAATCGTAAGTAAATCAGACACCTATAGTACCTTAAAAGTAAGGGTTGAGAAGAACAGCGATTACAACTATAGTCGCTGACAAGGTGAGAATGACAGGGCGTTTCTTTCGAACTTGCCCGATGCCTTCCGCCGTGCTTTGACTACGCGTGCCTGCTCGAGGCTCACAAGACGCACAAGCGTCATCGAAGCTGAGGAGCTTGCGCTGGAGGCGGGACATATTTTGAGGTTGGGACTCGTTGTAAAAGATAGCAAAATAACTGCCCCCTGTGTCCGCTCCTGCCAGAGGCACTGCAGACTAGAAGCATATTTTAATAAGAATGAATTGGATCATATGATCAAGTGCGAAATTTCAGGAAAAAGCCAATTGGGGACTAACTATTGTAAAAATAAAGCTGGGCGCCGCCAAGCGAACAACCCAGGAAGGACCCGCCGGGAAGAGGACCCCGAGACCCCGGCCCCCATCCGACCCTATCCAGGACGAAGAGGGCATGAGTGTGTGGCACAGTGGGTCAACGAAACTGCAAGGCAACCATAACTGAACCAGGCGGTCCCGCTGCAGTGATCTTTTATGTTCCCACGGTGCGGAGGCGGGACAACTGGAACTCCTCCCTGCCGTTCTCATCTTGTCATTGAATATACCCATGAAATCCCGGGAGATGCCCCACCCCCGAAAGATAACCCGCCTCCTATTTTTTATTTCTTTAAAAACGCCAAAAGATAACCCACTTCTAGTAATTACAGGGCCCTGGCCGATGTTGACCTCAGAATGAAATGGTGTTACTTAGCCATGGCGGGAGATAAGCGAACATTGCTGGCTGGAAAGGACAATTGTCTTTGGTTCCTCGCCCCTCCCTGTGATTACAAGTTTCACAGGTCGCAAAATTTAAACCTAGAATTTTTCAACTTTTTTTTATTGCCCACAGAAAGTTTGTTTACTCATTGTTTTCACACGATTTGCTTTTGATTTTAGGCGGGCTACCTGTCGGGATATTATGGTAGTTTGATTTTCATTTATTCCCAACTTGAAAATGGACTTATTTTCATTAGGAGTTGTGCAATGTAGAGCAGTGCTCGGCCTTACATAGGCAGTTAGCTTATAACTAATTATGTATTATCATTATTCAGGTGCCGACCGATTTTTCGGACACGTTCGATTATTCTGACTTTTTCGCCAAACCGTCACTTACCTCACAGAGTTAATGTTATAACATTGACCAAAATCGGACGCCATAAAGCTTATTGCTCGATATTTCGGACATAATTTGCGTGATTTCCTCAGTTTACAGCCACAAAACAGCCGCCGCAATAGTGCCGCGAGCTTAGCCGTTGCCATTTTGGTTGCTTTGATTTTGCCCCGTAGCCTCGATACCAAATCCTACGCAATAAACAAGATGGGTTGAGGCTATAGTCGGGTTTTCCAGTTCTGCTATAGCCAACATGCCAGTCGTCTGCCCATTCTTATGGCTCTTCCAGTTCTTCTCGTGGTCCGTGTTTTTTTAGTGCGACCGCGACGAGATCGGCTGTCTGCCGTTCTTGTGGTCTTGAGCGAAAAGGTTTTTTGGCGATAGGCTTAGTATTCAAAACGAGCTTAGTGGACTACACATTGTCTCCAAATAGTGCCAAATAGCGCCAACTTCAACTTCGCTGTTTGTGTCAACGAAGACGTAGACAAAGTGCAGCATCATCATCAAACAGACCAACAAACAAGTGAAAAGTGAACAATATAAAGCGGAAGTTGCACGCGAACTTAGAATTGACATCAAGCAAGCAGAAAGTGGCTTATACACATCGGAATATGCGTAGAAGTTTGATATTTTGGCTGAAATCGATTTTTCAGACCGCTTGATTATTTTGAAAATTTCGGGGTACCCTCAGAGTCCGAAATATTGGTCGGTGACTGTACATTCACTACTGCAGTATTCAATGGTGCCATCATGAACTGGGATTTCGATGCGACATTGCCTTGCAGAACCTCACATCAAGGACAACCCAACCCTTTCGATGATGAACGACTCCGACGAAGAAGTAATATATGGGTATGGACTGGAATGTATTTCTCTAATGCGGTAAAAACACTTTAGACTGAAGTCAACTTACAACCATTTTTTTTTTACTACTCTATTAGTATTTGTCGCATAGTATCAATCATTAAAATGGCTTTTTGAGCATTTAAAAGTTTACAACATTTTTATACAAGAAAGCCAAAGTTGTAGCGAGCTTGTAATGATAGTAAGCTATTTGAGCTACTGATATAATCAAGTACCGACGTTCTAGTAGTGCTTCAAGCCATGCTTGGAATGTATTCAGGTCAGATACGGAAGAACGGCTGCTGAACCCCGTGCGCTTGGGACAAGACAAGGAGGAAAGCGACTGAGTGACGACATATCAAGCTCGGTGAGGACATCTGGCATTCAGCTACCGATCGAAGATACAAGGTTTACGGACCGGCCGAGAACATCTGGGCTTGCAGATAACTTCAAAAACGACACTTGCAATGTAATACAGGGCTGACAATAAAAGCAGATATTTTTTTATAAGCTTGTTTTCCTACGGCAGTTGCAACTACTGCTCCTTTTCCAATAAAAAATAATGAAAACAAAATTAATAATAACAACAAAAAGCATAAGAGCACTATCACACTTTTTCTCTAACACAGTTTAATTAATGGGTGAAATCCAAGATGCTGATATCCTTACAATTATCGGCTGAGGGCCAGAGCAGAACATTCAGCTGTTCTATTTACAATACAGGCATTTAAACACCTGCACAGTCATAATTCTTCCAGCACATTTGTCTTGAAAGTTAGAAAAAAGCATTTTACACATGCATTTCTTCGCAATATTCAGCAGGTGCTGCATTTTAGGAGATTTCGGGGCAAGTGATGTGGGGTTCCGGAGGGCCAACTACATCGCTGCCCCCAATATGCAGAAAACACATTGGGTATTAACTGCAAGCAGTGATAAGGACTAAATAAGAAACTTGCTAAAAAACAATCTCTTCTGAAACGCAAAAACAGCCAGTTCTTTTATTTACCTATATTACATTGCGAGAGAGTTCCAGAGCCTAGAACACATTCCGGCAAAGGGGGCAGGTGGAATTGTTGCTTGTGCTGAACCATTTGAACTGTGTCAAGAAAAGAAATAAATGGCAAACCGTTAGAAGTTAGTCAAATTATTAAAAACGTGACAGTATAGAATCAACACCAATCTTATCTATAGAGCCTTTTCGTGACAAATGCCACTAGGCAGTGCTCCAGTCTTTGACGTCCAAGAGAACTTCAGGTTCATAAAAATAATGAACAAAGCCCCCCTTAACACCGCTGCTTGAATGTCGATAAAACATTTAACCACCAATTCTACACGTGAATGCCAAAAGAACAAAGAAGTGCGAGATCTGTTAAAATTTTTCTAATATTCTTCCAAACCAACTTGCCTCCTCTGAGACATTAAATTGCACAGCCAAAGGCTCTCATTAAATCTCCAACTTTGTTGTCCATGTAGCATTAATACTTTCTAGCACCGGTGACATAAGCAAGCTAGTCAAGCTTGCAAAGATGAAGCGATCGGAAGTCGCTTGGGGCGCAGGCCGCAGTTCATGCTTGTATATAAACAGTAAAAGGGGTCTATATAGAACTTCATGCTTATAAAGTTTATTTTTTTCAAAACTTATTAATTTCCCAGTTTTTTTTTTTTTTACTTTGAACCGTGTCTGGCTTTATCTCCCAAAACTGACAATACTATGCTGAACATTATAGTGCACAAAGGACAAGGACAAAGGAAAGGAACACACAAGACACACAAGTGCTGTGTTCCTTTCCTTTGTCCTTTGTGCACAGTTATATTAAACATGTGATTGTACCAACTGGCCCAGCTCACCACCCTTCTACATGCAATAACCACAAAAAAAAAAAAAGTTATGAAGGAAAGTAAACAGAAAACAAAAGCTAGCTAACAAAGTTGAACACGAGCACTAAAAAAAATGAAGGCAGCAGCAAAATCTAGTGGGAAAAGTATGTCTAGTCTTCCGTCAAACTTTAGTGCATTTGAAATATGTTTGCAGGTATCCAGGTATCAGGTGACACCAGGATGACATGTAACAAGATCTGGTAAACTTCCCCGCTAAATTTAGTGGGAAAAGGATGTCCGTGACGTTAAGTCTGACTCTGACGTTACTACCCTAAGAGTGGAGGCCGACGTTTCGGTAATGGGCTTACCTTCTTTGGGACAATACAAAGCCAAAAATCTTAGTGAAACAGGTTATACCTTCGAGGCTACCAGTAAGTTCCTTTGAACATGAGTTCCTTATTTTACGATGTGTACAGGGCGCGGAAATATGAGTTGACCCAGCGGCATCCAGTCTTGGACAGCACAAAAGCCATGTGGGAACCCCTGGCACAACTAGGTGATAAGAAAGAAGGCAGAAACGGACTGGCACACTTCCCATTGTCGCAATGTGGTAGTCGGTTTCGTAGCTTAGCATGCCAGAGGTACCCCGTGCGGCATTTTACCCATTTCGGCTGGCACTGAACTTGGCCAACTCGTACTGCCTCCGACTGTATGGGATAGGTAACCCACTGAACGGGGGCAATGATCTAGGCACACAGGCAGCAGCAGATGAAGGTGACAGAGCAAGACTATGCCGAACAATGTAAAAGTCCAAGTGTCATCCTCACCAGACAGGCAGAGTGGAACCTCTTCTTGCAGGTCCGGCAAGTGAGCTTGGGCAGTTGGCAGGTGGCCCCGTGCAGGACGTAGAAGCAGATCATGCACTCCTCCACACCCTCAAACCGCTTGTCCACGTTGCGCTTCCACAGCGCCAGCCCGTCCAGAATGGAACCGTTCTGCGCCGCGGGGAGGACGCCCTTCCTTTGTCACGCTGGAACCCTCTTTTATGAATACACATCCCGACGTTGTTGCGGCAAAAAAAAGTACATTCTGGGGATTTACGTGCCAAACCAACAAAGGGCATCTGGCACGCCTCGCAAAAAACAGGATCACTGTAAAACTCTTTCTTAATGTTTGCGAGCCCATAGCTTCATCCAATTTTAAGGGCATGCAAATATTTCGATAGTATAGAGAGAAGAATTCCGACCTTCAGAATCCGCAAAATTCAGCGGTTGTGAGAAACCAAGGCCATGAAAATGAAGGACTTTGCAGTAATTTTGACCGCCCGTGAACCTCTCAACTTGCAACCAAAGGTTCGGTTACGTGGCACCTTCTCCGCGACCAGCCTCCGTCAAATTTCAGCCATTTCGGCTAGAGTTTGAAGTTGGCAACTGAGGATCCGTACGCTTTGCCTTGGGGCCCCAGGAGTGGCCGAATTTGTCATGGCAACGACGTAAGTGCAGAAATGAGGCTGAATCGAAAGTGAGCTGGACGTGACTTTGGATTGAAATCATTATGTTTTTCTGACAATGACATTTGCAAAAAAATTTAGTTTGGAGATTTCGAGGCTCATGTTGCCGAGCTGTGTAATCACCCATCAGACATTGCGTTCCATCGGAAAGTGCTTAATTAAGATTAACAAACGTGCAAACACACTTAAAAAAATTCACACGGTCTCTTATGTTATCCTTAAGACAACTTGAAGGCGAAAGCCCAAGCGCCGATCCCAGTAATAACGAACCTCCGAAAACAGCACGGTCTCCGACGACGCACTTTCGGTGCCATTAATCTTAAGGCATGTCGCATGCGTGCTCTTCACCGCTGCCCCAGCGAGAGTGCCCTCCTCTCCCGCTGGGTTTGCGTCGCGCGCGCGCCTCCGCCAATTTTGGTACAAGTAACACCAACTTGTGGTCCAGTGGCGAACCGTGGGTTTTGGTACCTCCCGTGTCGCCGACACATTTGCGCTCAAGGACTGAACGATGAGACATATAGAACCTTAAAATAACATAGTCTGGACGCTGCTTTCAGACTTGTAAGCAGTGCTAGAATGCAGGCGAGCTGGTAATGAATCAACATCTTGTGGACCCTGAGATGGGGAACAATAAAAAAACGGACGAAGACAACAAAATCTCAAACGAAGCTGAAACCTATTGATTTGAACACACCAATAAATAGACTTCTAAACAAGTCTATTTATTGGTATGCTCAAATCAATGAATTTCAGCTGCGTTTCAGATTTTGTTGTCTTTGTCCGTTTTTTTATTGTTCCCCATCTCAGGGTCTACAAGATGTCGTTTCCAACTTGCTGGTTAAGAAAATGAATAAACGACGAATAAATGAAATGGAAGGTCAGACACATGGCTCGGTATGTACCTGGTGGGTGAGGAAGGTCGTGAGTTGCAGCAGCCAATGGCGCCACTGACTCTGGTTTACGCCCACTCGGCGCCCGCTGTCGATCACCACCACTCCGAGGGGGTGATTGGCTGGCAGCTTCACCACTAGCTCGATGGCCACCTCCTCTATGGTGTAGGTTGCCACGACCTCCCTAGCTGAGGGCCGCCCCTTCACCTGAAGCATCGGAAGGAAAAGACATACCTGTCGACTGAATTCTTCGCAAACCACTGGAGTGGTAAATGCAGCAGAATGTTGGCAGATCATCAGAGTTGCTAGACTCACTGTTGTTGTTCATGCAAGCTTCAATAGATGGCTATTGTACAGTCGACACTAAAAACTCTAAGGAAACACCAGTCAAATTAACTAGAGATGTATGCGAAGAAACCCAAGTCAGTCAACATATTTATCTTCCCAAGTATGCGAGAAAAGAGACAAAAGCAAAACAAGGCACAATATACGCACGGTCATGTTCTCGAAAGTGACATCGGCACTCTGGACAGCCTGAATTTCCATGGAAGAGATCACGCCGGTCACATGGCGGGATGTGAATCTGCACAAAGTAGGTTTAGACATGTGAAAGAATTTCTTGCTCATTTCTAAGAGAAAATCGGACTAATGAAAGAGCAACGGTGGATGACACACTTTTCAACGTGGTCCATGATCCGCTTGTTCTGGCTGCTCCACCAGCTCCTGACAAGAGCCGGCAGCTTGCAGATGGTGTCCAGGTAGACACGGCAGGCAACATGCTGCAGCTTTGCAGAGCTGAACTCTTCTGCTCGCAGAAAAACGACAAGAGACAGTGTGGTGGGTCAGAACACTTGGTCCTGTTGTGCTCAAGGAACCTTTGGGTTTGACAACCAATCAGTCATGCAAACACGAGCATCTTGTTTCTCGTTTTCGTCGTTACACACCAGACTGGTATGATGACAGAATGTTGAGCATCAATATCATTTGTCTCGTGGAAGCGTAACTAGCGATGCACTCAAACAAACTATGAGCTGCCTACATAAAGCTGGTACCTGTCGGTTAGAAAACACCATATGAAACGCTTCACTTGCAGTCACGCAGGGGTATGTGACTAGACAGGCCGTTTCCTTCCCGAGCTCTAGGTGGATACGGTAGGAAGCCACAATATTGATCGTGCTGTGCCCCTGCTGATTGCAACTGTGTTTCCAATCAGCAGGTGATAAGCCTAATTAATACACAAATTAGACAAATTACCGCAATATTGCGAGTCATTGTCCATTCCCCTGCCGCCTGAAATTTATAAAAAAAAAAAGGGGGGGGGGGGGGGGGTGGGCCATGTCTCGGTGGGTAAGCACAAAAAGTTTAGAAAAAGCTAAAAAAAAAACACCCATTTTTCTGTACATACCTAGGGCGGCTGTACAAGAGATACTTGAAACTCAAAACAGTTTACAGAATGTTAGGGTGGAAACGAACAGGAGTCTCAATATGAGGTGCCTGTTCTTCCTCTCCTTCATTGCTGTCTTTCTCCCTAATCTAAGGGTTATAGTTCATAGAACAGTTCCATTGTTTTATGCAAGAAATGCTCATGAAGGAACGTTTCACTATCGCAAAGTTCATTGTTTGCATACGAGCAATGAACACCGCCGATCGGCATACAGCACGAAAGTTTGTTCCGTGAAAGCATGTTTCTAACACTGCTATGTTATCTTCGTTAGTAAAAAAAAGAAGAAAAAGAGTCACCAAGAAGACAAAACCAACCAGGCGCAACGAGCGAGCGGGCAAAAGAAGCGACGAAGAGCGATGCTGGGAAAGCGGGAAAGCCGGTGATCGTGTTGGGGGCCAATGCTTTAGCATCGGGCCAAGATGGCCACTTTGTCAACCACAAGGAGCAGGCTCTTGTGCAACTTTCTTGTTTGGTGCATACATGCGTGCATCCATGCGCAGCATGCTATCAACGTGGGTTGAAACGGTGTTGCTGCTTGGCATGGATGGCACCACGAATGCAGAGCTCGAAATGGGATGCTTTACAAACATCTGTGTGTAGTGTTCAGCAGACCTTTATTTACCCGTTGGCTTCATCCCCAACATTGCACAACCCTACCAACCACGGTCGTGATGTTCCGAGGGAGAAGCGGGTTTGCGGTGAACTTATTTTGGTGGAGCCAGACCTTATACTCGGCGGTTACATTCCAGGATATGAGGCATTTGCTGACCTTGCGATCCCTAAATAAGTTGTTATCTTTCCGTCTTTTTATTTTTTTTGTCCGAACAAAGTTTTTTGTAAGCAAAACAAAGTTTAATTTTGTTATCTCTGTTGTTTTTCTTTCGCACGGATGTATTCCGACTTTGGGGTTACGAAAAATGGGGGGGGAACGTGTGAATGAACTGAAGTGTCTCTCCCTAATTCGTTTTACTTTGTTACAAACGTCTTCCAATTGTAGGATTCGTGGCCGCATTGTTCGGGTCGGATGAATGTTCGCAGATTGCGGAGTCCACGTGTTGGGGTATTTGCAGGGGTGGGCAAACACTCTGCGTTTTTTTTTAATTGATATTTTCCCAAAATGTGGGGTGGTCAATGACTCGGGGATGGGCAATGAGTCTGGATATTACGGTGAGTCTTTTCAGCTGCAAGCTCAACGAACTAATGCTTGACTTTCCGGTGGTTAAAACCTTTGAAAACTGACCTTGGGGGTTGAGGGTGGCAGGTTCGGTGAACATGGTCCTTCCTCTGGAAGGGGAGGCCGTGGGCACGCTGATGTTGCTGGGCATCAGGCAGAAAAGGTGCTTGAGGAGTGACGACAGCATCCCTGACCCATGCAGGTAGCTCGCATACTCTGACCGAGCCTAACCAAAAAAAGAAAAGAAAAAAAGAAAACAAGCAATTTTACCACAAAAAAAAAAAAAAATACATACAGAAAGCACCAACATTGCTTTTCTCGCATCACATCTGAATGGAGGTCCCTTCCGGAAGCTAATTTTTCAATCACCTAATTTAAATCAAGCCCTTGAACAGTATTTTATTCGCTAACACGGCTTTCATGCAGTATAATTTACTTTTCCCTTTTCATAATTGTCGATTAAATAATGTTGAATTTCACCTCTGGTTTTGAATTTTTGGATTGTTGCGTCATTTGTCGTACACGCAACATGCATAGTAACATGTTTTTCGCCCCCCTTGCTTGGGCCAGGAATCTGGCCTGCAGTAGATTAAAATAAATAAATAAATAATGTCAAGGAAGAAGGCTGGGAGTCGAATCACAAATATCCTATTACATTGGTTCTCAAACTTTGCAATCTCAAGGAACCCCATTTCGCTCCACTGATAGCCGAGGAACCCCAGCAGCCTCTGCATTGCAACAATAAAGCAACGCACAAAGCATGCAGGCTTAGTAAACAATAATTCACATACTAAGGAGTGTTTGGCTCATAGCTGCGCATAAATGGGAGGCTCAGATATGCCAGAATATAACTTCAAATCCCGAGCAAGCGCCCACTAAACATTTGAAAATAATGATGTAACACTGGGGGATGGGCGCTCCTTAGGTCAACAATATGTAAACCTATGTCCTTCACATATTTTTCAAATGCTACAAAATTGAGAGGTGGGAGGATGGATGCTCTGTATTTTACGGTAGTGTTTAAACTGGAAAAACACTTATCTTGAAAGCAGGGAAGGTCAAGAAAATTTTACAGCTTGGGGAACCCACAAGGGTACTCAAGGGAACCCCAAGGTTCCCAAGAAACTAGTTTTAGAACCCCCTTTCTAGCAGACGACACGAGGTGTAGGGTCAGCAGAGATTTAGGGACTAGAGAAACTTCGTAACAGGCAACAAAATTAACCGCCAAACTCCGTCTTTGCCCCGAGAAGATACCTACTAGGTACAGAAAGCGAAGCTCGGGAAACGCCCGGCGGCCCGCGGACAAGCAGACGCTCCGATCAAGGGTTTGCCCACCTCGGCGGGGGAGGCCCCGAAGAAGGAAAGCAGCTGTAGCCAGGAGAGCAGGTAGCCCAGGGTGTAGGTGTAGCTGTCCGTGCCGGGCACCACCAGGCAGCAGTCGCCCACTTCGAACTCAGACAGCAGGACTTCCACCACCTGGCCCGTCTCCCGCAGGGCCCTCAGCAGGGGTTCCGGCGGGGGCCTGCGCATCGCCAGGAGTGCACAAGTGGCGGCCCGTCTAGTCAAAACCGCGCAACGGCTAAAGCCGTCCCATAATACGACAAACAAAGAAAAAAGAGAGAAAAAAAGAATCTGTCTTGCTATTATCTTGCGTTAAGGTTATCATACCTGAAGCTACAGTCACTTTAACATCGGTGGACCAAAATTAATTTTAAAAAATTAACTATGCAGTGAAAACAAATAAAACTTTCTGAGAATACTCTCTAGGTGTTTGCAAATATAAATATAGCATTTTTCAAAATAAACTTTTTTTGCAGAAATATTTTTTTCTGGGTAGCGTCTCCCCTTAATGTGCGTCATGCAGTCTCGATTTGTGACTGCACGCCGGTACAATGCTTGTTCAGATGGAAACAGGCAGGGGTGGGGACCGAACCCAGGATTCCTCAGTTCTGTGGTACGAGCTTTCGGTTAAGTGCTCCGAGCCACGGTGCATTGACGCACTAGGCCACAACCAAATGCAGGAGTAGTAGCCGGTGCAATCGAAACTAGACAACAGCCATAGCTATGCAGTGACATAGGAACCAAAGTGAGACACAGCCCGGATTTTTCCAGCAGCACACCATGCAGTCGCCTAAAGGATGCAAGACACACTTCACTTTGTGTCACTTGGAGACTTTTCCTAAATCATTAACATCTAACAATAAAGTGTAAGAAAGAAAATCCCTGTATGCTCTATGACGCCGTCATCTTAAGTTAGTTTAAGGACGTTTATAACTGATGCTAGAGCCAAAATGCAAGTGATAAGACCGGCATTGCATTCCTGAAGAGTAGAAAAAGGACGACACAAAAAGCCAATTTGCGCAGTGGAAACAAAGAAAAGGCAGCCTTTCCTTCGTCTCTGCCCTGCAAGGTTAGTAGGCCGCCCTTTCTCTTTGTTACGATGTACCCGGCTCACCGAAAGGAGATGGCCTTGCTTACACGTGTCAAGTATGAATAAAAGCTTCCGCAAGATACCACCGAACAGATACATCTCGAAAATTGAAAAATAGCATTGTCAAAACCAAAGTTGGGTACTTGTTTGAAACAGATTTGCTTTCATTGTCCAGTCCAGGGGTCTCTAAACGTTTTGGCTAGGGGCCGGTTCGGGGACCTGTCGCAGTCTCGAGGGCCAGAAATCGGACAAGACAATGTAAACGAGGAAATAGTAGATAAATCAGTCTAAAGAAGCATTTTTAAAGGAGGACACTACCCAAAAGGATCAACTTTCCAACCAATGGCTCAATGTAAATGAAATTTACAGTATATACTGGCAGTTGAGAGGCAGAATGCAGTGCAAATTTTTATCTGAGTACATGAATTGCAAAAGAAATTATACTTGTTTTAAAAAAAAAAACACTCTGACATTGCTTAGAAAAAGTTATTGTTAGAAAATTAATGTAATATCAAGTACTATTTATACCAAGTAGAAAGGACTAGGCACCCGGGCCCGTTTGCTCGAAGCCGGTTAACTTCAACCGCGGTTAAGAGTTCCCTGCCCTTCCCTAGTAGGTACCTACAAGTACCTAGCCAAGTTGTTGAAGGCTAGATGAGCGATAGCTCCGTGTTTTATTATGGGGTGGTAGCTGGTGTCACCTAGTGGTTGTAGCGAATATAAGTGGCTTCCGTGGAAAGAGTTCCCAAAAAGGGGGGACACAAAAATGCGCACTACCAGGTTTTCGTGACACAGCGCGACATACATTTGAGCTTAAGAAATATTTTTGTTGCCTGTGGTACAGATACTAGGGTAAGGTAAAACTAAATTAACCCTTGTTCGGAAAATTTCTGAATACTTGGCTATTTGAATTGAAGACAATAATACCCTTTGAAATTTCCTTCCAAGTTTGAAAGAGGACGACGAAGTTCAGTCCTAGAAACAATAAGGAAGAAGTGAGCAGTGAAAGGCGGGTGGTACACCGGCAGCGTGGTTGGCCAGCATGTAAGAACTGCATATAACACCATCATAAATTGAAACGCCTGTTTATTTGGCTCCAGTGAAAATAAACCTATTGGTAAATTACCCAAGCATCGAGGAGAACGCTGGAAGTATAATTCTATGATCCGCGCGCTGGTCTTCCCGTCATAAAAGATTTGAAGTAAATAATCATAATAAGGCTTTGACGAACGTGCGTGCAAGGCAAAATTTGTTTTAGACTTTTTGCTTTAGAACAGTTACTACTGCAGACGCCAGCATGTGCAGCGCGTGTGACTACACTTGTAGCATGCACCTCGGTGCTTGGGACGCTGTCTGCTTCTGCGTGCTATCAATACCCGGTTGATTGAGTCAGGGCAATCCACTTTCCGAAGACGTTGCCATGCCGACAATTATTGTGTTCATTTAGACTTAAGAATGGCCAGAATAGAAAGATTATCTAAAAAGTGCGGCGAGGTTATTGCTCATGCTTTGCGATTCAAGTGAGGTAAGGCAAAGCAAAAGCCTCTTGAACCATTCATTACTGACTAACGCGCCCGATATTGCAGCTGCAACGACATACTAGTTCCAAAGCGAGCGGCGCTCTCTCACCAGGCACCGCCATGTTTCCCCGCCGTCCTTACTCTGCCGCTCACGTGGCCTCAAATTTCCCCTTCGTAGGGAAACGCGGTTAACTTCTAACCGCGGCTGGAGTTAACCAGCTTCGAGCAAACGGGCCCTGGTCTAGTCCTTTTTACTTTATATAAATCACCATGCCTTTCACAAACTTTCTGTCGAATCACTGCATCACGACAAAATTCAATGGGTTCTTCCACCTCCTTACCTCGAGGTTTCCTCGTCGTCCGACTTCGCAAAACCCTGCGCCTCTTCTCTGGCTATGGATGGCACGATCCTGGAAAAGTCGACAATGGTATGAGTCACAATTTCCGGACAGGCGTACGAAGAAAACTTCTCGGCCACAGAGTATTCTTTTGAAATTCTTAATCCAAAAATGACACAGCATTTGAAGCACGAAAGCTCCGCTTACTTCTGAAGCAGTGTGTGTGCTCCAAGCTGCAGCGCAATGAACTGGGATGTGATGAGGGGCGTCAGCTTGGAGAGAACCCCGACGAGCGAAGACTGGTTTTCTGAGGAGCTCTCCTGGAAGCACTTTGTGAACTCGATTGCCTGCTTTTCACTCACAAACTCCAGGGCCGAAGACAATTTCTCGAAAACCAGTGATGCAGCCTCGTTTGAACTGCTGGAAAGCTCTGGGAATAAAAAGAGACAGACCATGCATACTTTATCACTCTTCCAAATAGTAGCACCACGTTTCATAAAACTTTTGGGTCAATTAAAGACACCTTTAGCCATGCATATAAATTGAACACTATCAGAAGTATAGAGATAAACAGTGCAACATATATTTTTCTGCATTTTTCAGATTAGTAGTTGCTGCAAGTCTCATGATATACCCCACTTCTCAAGTTGTGCCTCTTCATACACTTGCTCATCATTTTTAAAGATTCTCACAGTTTTGGGGTAACTTTTTAACATGAAGAAATTACATGCATCTTAATGGGCCAAATGCAATGAAATGCAGTAGCTTTACAAAAACATTGTTAGTGAAAAGAATTGGGAGAGGAAATGGTATGCTGATGAAATGGTTGTAATATGCCGCACACATCGAGGATGACCTTTAGGACGAGTAAAGGACGTCCTAGAGATCGACCTCTAGAACGACTTCAAGGACGCTATGAAGGATGAACTTCTAGAGGACGATGTCAAGAATGACGTCTAGGGCAACCTTTAAAACCAACCCAAGGACGTCGACAACGTCAGGTCACATCAGCTTCAGCTACCGGTGCTTACGAGTGTATGTGAGTGGCTCTTATGCGAACAGAGCTTACGCAACAGGCGCTTACATGACTTCGAGCTTCAGCCACAGGCGTTACGTGACTTTGAGGGCGAGGACATGACCTTGAGTCTGGTTCGCCCTATAAAGCTACTGCTTTAAAAGAATGGGATGTGTTTTCCATTATCCATTATAGCTTTCCTATCAAACAAGAATGACTTTCTCACGGGCAATGTCCACGAAGCCAGGAACCAGAACGGAAAAGACAGCCCTGGTGTAAAACTCGCTCCATTCTGTGTCAAAGTTCTCGGGGAGCTTGCAGCTGCTCCTCACGGATGATGTCTTGTCAGTCACGTGAGTGACCTCGAGAAACAGACTCAGCAACTCGCAGGCAAAAATGAGGTCTCTTGTCGGAAACATTTCCACTGCCTTCCTCCAGCTAAATTTCTGAAAGAAAAAGCACGAGCCGCTCGTTATGCTCACTTGCACGTTTTGGAGCAGCTGCAATGCTGCTCTTCTAAATGAGGAGAGTAACTACCTCAGTCCACATTGCAAGGCTGAGAAGGACAAAATCCCAGTTGCACGACGACAGAGCCTCTGGGCAGCACTTGAGCACGACGAAGAAAAAGCGGCACGACATTCGGCTCAGTTCACATTCGTCTTCTGTGAGATCATCCCTGCGGAGGGAAAAAGTTGGAGTGAGCAAGAAGGGACCGATCAGAAGACCCTTCAAAAGCGGTACCCTATTTTTCGGTGCCTAGTCTGCACATAAAAAATTCTCATACACAGCGCACCTTGACAAATGTCTGCTTTATTAGCTCGCAAAGCTTGTGTCATACATAAATCCTCACTAACATACCCTGTCCTTCACAAAGTCCATCACATCTCGTCGTAATGGATTATCTAGGAAAAGACGCCCCTTTGCCCTACTAGCGTGGCAGAGGCAGTGGTGACACAGAACGTGATGTGTCAGTGGGGAGAAACTGCGTACAGATGTGGAGCCTGGGTGGCACTACAGTCACTAAATAAGCTACGCTTTCAGAGTACCGCATTCCTTTTCTTTGGCATTTTGCCGACAATACAGTCGCTCTATTCAACAACATTCTGGTTCGCTGCGGCATCATTGGACAGCGGCAGCCACGTGAGTCGCTATCATCCTCATCGCGTTTTTTCAACGCCACCATCTTGGGCTCAGCGATCCGCTGCCTACTGCTGTTTCACTGTTTACTGCGTGCGCACGCTGAAGTCCGTCGCTCAGCACGCGCTTTTTCCTTCTGAAGTCGAGATACGAACAACACGACCTTGATTCGCTGCCACAGCTGCGTCTGCGACAGCTGGCGCAGGCGACGGCTACAGCTCGGCTTGGCTCAGCTATAGTCACTCCTCCATCTGCGTGTGAATTCAAGATGGCGGCGCCCGACGTGCTTCAGATGCGTAGTTTGGGAGTTTCGGTACTCTGAAAGCGTAGCGTTATTTAGTGACTCTAGAGGGCACGAAGCAGCCCTCTGTCGTGCAAGGTAAGCGTGTGAGCAATCGGTGTAAATGAGACTTTCTCAGAGCCTGTTGTAGTGTGAGACACAACAAAAAAAGCGTCCGGAAAACAGAACAATTGGAACGTGGCAGCGCCGAGTAGAACCCTGGCACCAGCTTGCAGCAAAAAAAAGCCTAACATTCAAAACCAGAGTGTTAAACCGAAACTTTTATCGGTTTGGTTCGGGTTCACAACCTTTGGTTCAGTTCCGGTTCAGTTCCAGCGAGCCAAAATAATGGTTCAAACTGGTTTGAACCGGTAAATTGGTCATATTTTTCCAGATCATATTGGCTACTAATTTAGCCGTGAAACGAGTAACTATACTGTATAGTTATTTATCGTTCGTACAATCCACTTTTATTTTCAGGTACCACAAATAAGAAACTGCATTATTTAATTTCGACGAAACAGTGAAAGGAAATCTAGATTAATATGCAAAACGTGTTTATACAACTCAACATCCATTTGTTTACCTCAGACCCATATATTTTACCTTAATCGAAAGATTGTCATGAAGTAAGGCAGGTCACCAAAAGTATGCTTGATTGTATAACTTTCCGTCGCAGTCTTAAAAGTTGAATCGTAGGTGTACTCTTTAACTAAGGCATTAATTACAGTGCACAAAATCATGGCATGCGCACATCGTCGCCATATATAACTTGAAATACAATTTACAAAATATGTTTCACAATATGTTTGATGACTACGTAACTGAGGTAAAAGCAATATTTTTAAGATGTTTCGAAAATTTTAGGACATGCCATTTTAGTCTACTTTGATAGAAACACTGAGTGGCAGTCACAATACTTGTATTGTGAATGTATTCTTAAAAAAAATTCAATACACAATGCCTTACTGCAGAAAGAAATACATATAGATGCAATGATATTCCTAATTTCACATAAATAGTGCAAAGGACAGACAAACATTCTTATAATTCTAACATAAATCACATTTGAACATCAGCTTGCATGCATACTCGAAACTTTGTGAAACACTGCCTCGGGCTAATGTTATATTCGGTTTTACATGCATTTGCTTTGGGCCCTCACTTTACAACTCTGTGCTCTATCAGTCATGTGATTTAAAATTTTATTAGGCTGCCATGTATAATTGTGAGACTGCTATATATGCTGCACAACTTTACAATTTGGACATCTATATTTGCTTGTGTTGTGAACATGGCACTTTACCAGAAAACTGAACTGTTTAACATGGTTTGCACATGACGTCATTGCACTCTACGCGGGTGGTCATTGCGATTTGTTCTTGCTAAGGAAATCAAATCCGGTGCTACAAAATGCATGCTGCAGAAGGTTTGCGCTAAGTGCAAGCCATGTATTTGAGAGAGACAGATTATTCTTGCTTGGTGCAGCGTTGTGAGGAACGGCATGAGGTTCTGGTACCACGAAAACAAACTTTCTTGCAAGAATGTTTTCACAAACATAGTTTCTGGGCCACGCTTTCTGGTCTGTGCTGAAGATGCAGGACAGAGGAACTTTATAACACAATATGTTTTTAAAACTGCTTTACAGCATGTCCTGACTACATGATGTTACATGATCATGATACACATAATTAATCATAGTGCCAATACAAAAGTGCCACAAAAACCCACAATTTCTTAAACATTGCAATTCTGTATATGATGATCTGATCAATACATAAAAATACCAGTCATGGGTAAGTTACTTTTAAAAAGTAATTCGTTACAGTTACAGTTACTTTCAGAAAAAAGTAGCGAAGTTACCGTTACAGTTACTGCAACAAAAGAGTAACTCGTTACAGTTACAGTTACTTTTAAAAAGTAACGACGTTACTTTTCAGTTACTTTTCTATAACACAAAAAATAAAAAAAAAATAGAAAACGCCCTTTAGAACGTTTTATGGCAAAAATTAAAAAGTACGCTTTTTACTTCATATTGTAACTTAGTAGCAGTCGCTTCTCAAAGTTAGTGTTTGAAAGTTTCTACGCCAGAGTAGTGGCGCAAATCAAAATACGAAACGTGCGCAGTGCGGCGTAGTGGAGCTAATCAAAATACGAGACATGCGCAGTGCCCTTCACGTGTATTGTTTTTTACGGTGGATTCAGCCGATTAAAAAGCGCTTGCACAGAAAAAAGAAAAACCACAACATAGGTAGTGCTTCAAGACACTAAGATGTAAGTGTTGAGGCACAAAGTACAAGCGCGTGCGTAAAGATAACTAGATATCTTTTTATAAAATCTACACGTGGCTATATTCGGGTAGTGACTCGCGAGAAAGAACGTATTCACAACTTTGTGCAAGGCCAACTTGACACTCGAAATGTCGGAATAGGCGATTTGGAAAGTGCAAGGAATGGCTAAATTACACCTCGTTCAGTGATATATTATTCATAAAACACTGGAAAGTAACGACAAAAGTAACGTCGTTACTTTCATCGTTACTTCAGAAAAAAGTAATAGAACTACAGTTACAAGTTACATTTTTAAAAAGTAACTCGTTACAGTTACAAGTTACCAAAAAAGTAACGAAATTACAGTAACGCGTTACTAGTAACGCGTTACTACCCAAGACTGAAAAATACAGCTGCCAATTTTTTTATTCTCAAATATTCTACTTGCAATACTAACAAAAAAAAAATACCATGAACCATTTTGAACCGGTTAGCTCTATATTTTTTCCAATTCAGTTCCGGTTCAGTTCCAAAGTGGCGCTGAAGATTTCGGTTCGGTTCAGTTCCTGTTTGGCTAAAAAAAATGGTTCAGTTCCGGTTCGACACTCTGCTCGGAACTCCCTCAACCTGTTACGGCAAAGGTGTCTGAAGAGGTTTTGCCAAAACTCCCGTTGCTGGCACCTAACCGTATATGGTTTGGTGCCAGCCATACAACACATTCTGTATTAAAAACAAATCCTTGTGTAGTTTGCATGCAAAGATAGATCACACCCAAAAAAATTTTAACTATAACATATTTTACCACAAACTATAACATGTATAGTTTACTATAACATGTATAGTGGTCTATTTATGGCACTAGCAGGTTGTAGTCAACAAGTAATGTATCCAGGACCACATGGAAAGGAGGGGAAACTGGGGCCTTCAGCGCGCGTAAATCTTATTGCTGAGCTGGAGTCGTGGCTGAAGCTATATTGTTTAACCTAGCATACAAATGGTTCCATAAAAACCATGAATAAGGAACAGATAATGAAATGGCAAGGGTCTTTTTGGGTGTCAGAAAGATGCCACAAAAATTCACATCACTACATTCAAAATACCCAATATCCTGACCATAGCCACGTTTCATTTCAATGTGTACCCGTGCTAACCATTACACATTTTAAAATTAATTTCTAATGACAAAAATAAACATTTTGCAGGCATCTTTTAATTTCCTCCAGATTGCCGCTTTGAAGATCCAGTGAGGTTATGGAATTGTCATTTTCTCAGTAACTCCGTATCAAAGGTAGCCATGAAGGCTCGTCGAGACGTTTGTGTCCAGGTGTGACTGAATGCGTTACGACCACTTGTGACAAGTTAGGATGACGAGTTGCTATGGCAATCAAGTTGCGCGCAACATATCATGGTGCAATGCATCGGGTCATAACAAGGGTTCTGTGTTTTCAGTATATACTGAGAAGCCCCAAAAGTAAACCCTAAGCCGGTTTAATTAAAAGCAGGGGAAACCAAAAAAAAACCAAAAAAAAAAACTTCTAATCGGAGTTGTTTTGAAACAAGAAAAACCCTGAGCTTCACGGGAAGAAACTTTTTAATTGCAGCTTCATTTTGTCATTGCACGAAACAAAGACTACACTGAACTGTCCCCAAAGCTGCTGATTCCTTTGAGAACTGCACCCTTCAGCTCCTTTTTGTTTTATTGTTTTCTTCGAAACAAGTCTAAATAAAAGCAGATTTTTTGCATGACACCAAACTAACCCCAAAAAACACAAAAAAAAAAAAAAAAAATGCCAAGAAACACCTTAAAATTTAAAAAAAAAAAGACCCAAAAACACAGAACCCTAGTTATATCGCAGTGAGCTGCGCTCAAATGCAAATGTCTGAACCGGCGCAAGCTATGCCTCCACATTAGTTTTCTTTCGTGGTAACTGCACAGTCCTATAGTATAAGTAACCTCCGATTAGCAACATACGGGTGCCCAATGGTTACTGACTGTTGCGAAGCTATCGAAACATTAATGCTCCTCTCTTGTTGAGATAACTTGCAAACCAGGACACTTACGCTTCTCTCAGGTATAGCTTGGGGTTGCGTCCCCTGATCCCCTGCAGCAGGAACAGGACTGACACCACTTGTGGGTGAGCTTCTGCCATGTGAGCTGCTCCCAGACTGCTCAATGTCTTCGACAACAAACCCAACCAATCGGCAACCACTGTGAAAGGGCAGAATAATGAGAACCAACGTCCAATTGTTTCGGCGGGCAGGTAACGCTCGCCAGATGCCAATGGTGGGCAAAGTGAGCACGAGTTTTATTAAAGGGAAGCACCGGCAAAATATCGATGGTCATTGATTTTTATAAAATTTTTACCACGTAATAAATATCCACCCATGAGTATGTCTACAAAATATTTAGACAGAATATATGTTTTATTTCGAGAAAATTAATTTTGAAGTTTATGCATACACCCTTGAATCACTTGCTGCCACCCTACTGGCAACAACGAGCAGGGTCAGTCGCGATGTCAAATGTTGTATCGAAGAGCAGAGGACGTTCCCTACTCCGTGGTGTTGTATGTTGCAGTGATAGGGAGTGTCTGTGGTTTTGCGAGTTGCGTCTGGTTTAAGCTGTTTGTGGCATGCGATGGATGGGGGGGGAATGGCGACGGGCTGTGAAGTGCAGTACCGTTACGAAGAAGTACAGCAGAGTGACATCTTATTGGTCTCCGACCGGAATGTCTTTGCGACGGAAATGGGTACGAGCAGTTCGACGTGAATGCTGGCTCCTAGCGTTTGCGTAGTGCTAGAAACCAGTCTGCAACTTGCTAGTAGATAAAACCTTCCATGCCATTCTGCTTAAAAGCGGCATTTGGGTCAACATCTGGGCGGATTGTGAACGCGACCCCCACGGGAGGTCCCCTTGGAGGCGATGCAGGCGTATCAAATGTGAAAGGAAAATCATCCAAAATCTCGTGCTGAAAATCTTAAAACATTTGCTGGTCACTGCTTGACTAAGGCAAACTTGATGAATCATAGTCCATTATTTCCCACGGATGATCGCGATGACGCCAGGCAAAACAGGCTCAAGGCGCCCATGTGCTGATGTTTATACAATATCTATACAATATACAAAAAGGCTCGTGGGGGTTGTGGCATTACAGAGCATTTCTGGAAAGTGCCTAGAAATTATAATTTCCAGAAGCAATTGTTTTATCCACAAAAATATTGAGATGAAATTTATGATTTGTTTTATTAAGTATGGCACCATTCCTAAATTCTTGAGTAAAACAAAAACATGCGAAGTTTTGGTTGAGCCCTTTAAATATGTGGATTAAGTTTTAAGGATTCTTCTATAAATCCAACATATTAACATTATGCTAGTAGAAAAAACCTGATATAATGCTTCGCTTGCATCTGCTGCTCATGAGAGGAAGATACCTAGTAGAAAGCTTTGTTTATAAATCGCTTGACTGTCCTCATACCACGCTTTTGTTTAGCTTTCATTATACATAGTAGTATCCAGGTCAACCCGCTCGTCCAACTCCCCAATTCAAAAGTGTACAAATATAGTGCAAAGGTGGTCCTTAGCCACCTTGAAGGACAAGCAGTGCACCCCCAACCCCCCCAGAGTGAGTTCAAGAGTACACAAAATCTGCTCACTGAACTAATTCAGAAGAACATTCGAGACATCAGTGAGAAAGGTGGTACTGCTTAGCTTGGCTCAATGCTCCAACAAATGGGCCAGCAATGCATAAATTGTACCAAGGCTGAGGAACTCTTCTAGGAAAGCAGAATGATTGTGCAAACTAGGGTGTTGAGGAATCTCTAGAAATTCTGCAGAGAGTAAAAACCCACTTTGGGAACCCCCAGTTCTCAAAGCAGCTACTGAACCAAGGAAGTATTCAGCAACTGCTTGCAATTCAGATAAAAGAGGCGTATAAAAATGACTAAGCCAACAGCTGTGATGCTGTTCTCACCACTTGGAGAGGTTTCTATAGTCTGTTGTAGGCCGAGAAATCAGGGCAAGGCTCTTCCCACAAGGCCCTCCACTCTTTTCAATATAGTAGAGCAAATGCTGGAGGGACTCTCTCTTCTCCCGTGTTTTCTCTGCTAAAGAGCAAAGAGTGTAGGGCTTTATGGGAGGAGCTCTCCCAGTTTCTTAACCTGCAACAGGCTATGAAGCAGTGGCACAGCCTGTACATCGACTTAGAAGTTTGAACAGTAGTCATACGATGACAACGGCCCCTACCGGAGTATGCTCCAGAATCCCAGGAGAGGAGGCAGGCAACGCAAGTCGAAAAAACGTCCCAACGGTGGTCCTCCGGAAGGAACTGAAGCATTGACCTCACAATCTGCAGCTGCTGGGTTCCTCCAGGTCCATAACTAAAATCAATTAAAGGTCAATCAGGACCTTATAAGGAAGCTCAGCAGTACAGGCAATTAAACAACAAACAAACTTACAAAGAAAATGAATTGATACAGCCTTTTCTAAAATGCAACTGAAGGGAGATGTCTGCAAATACACTCTAAAGTGACAATACAAATAATTTCTAATTGTAAAGAGCAATCAATAAAAACACAAATATAGAACAACCAAGGCTCACAGACTGTCCTTGACGGACTCGTAATAAGAGCCACAGATCCTTCTTGCAACCTCCACCTCCCTCAGACGTTTCAACAGATAGACCAAGGGCTCCAGCCAGATACTTCTCGTCGAATGAATCCTGCAATATATCCACGATAAAGCAAGCTTTTAGACCGGGAAAAAACATGAGCACTAAATCTGAGCACTGAAATGCAATCCTAAGAGCTTAATTAGAAACCGAAAAAGTCCACGCACCTATCCACCAGAGCATTGAAGATCTCGGCAGGGTGTTCTTCAACGGCAGCGTCTAATGCAGACCGTTTAGCTGTGATGTTTTCCAAATGCTCTGCACAGGCATGGAGCCTCTGAGCAAGAAGAAAAACAAGGAAACATCAACCAAACATGTCTGTAAATCATGAGAGAATGTGAATAGGAGAGTTAATGTTTACCTGACGTGGAAAACAACGGGCCAAAAGCAGAAATGGAGAGAACTTCAGCACAATTGGGCTGCTCGTTGTGGGATTGGTTTCTTTATCAACACAGCTCGAAGCAAGCAGGTGGTTGAAGATGGCTTCTGTGAAGTGTGCAACATCTGTTATATGTGCTCGCTCCTCCACTGCGGCTGAGCTGTGCCGAGCGAGATAGTCTTTCGTCGCAAAAACCGGGTGTTCTTTCGGATTTCTTAGGTGTGCGGGGAGCAGTTCCTGGGGAGTACCACACAAGCAACCAATTACAGCATCCTGTATCTCAAATGTCTCTTTTGCAGATGTGCATTCGTAGAACTTTACATAACATTTTTGTTACATGAACCCACTGGTTGTCTTTGCTTTCGTTTTGACACTAGGCTGCCTATTTTCTTATAGCCTAGGCAGGTCCATTTGCTGCATAAATATCCACACAGCAGAGCCAGATCGAAAACTTGGACAATGTAACTAAAGTTCTCCATGCACTATAAGCTTGAGTGAAAAGAATGGATAGGAAGGACAAGCGTAGCTTCTTATGAGATGTACTTCATTAAAAGTACTAAACAGTCAGTCCTTCATTTATAGTTGGAGCCAGAGCTCTACTTTCTCCTTACTTAACACTTAACATACTTAACACATTCTTCAATGCTGCATTTGCATACTGTTCAGCTGAAAATTGTATCCTGAAACATTGCCAAATCCCCTTAAGAACTGGGAAAGCTCCCCCCCCCCAAAGAAAAGGAGTTCTGTTAAAATATGTAGAATGCAAGAAATAAGGCATATCTAAACGTCTGCTTGTTACAGGATAGCGCACTGCACATGCAACTGTATCCTGCATCACACTAAAGGCTTGCTCTCACATTTGCACTGAGTGCGCTGCACTGCGTTGTGCTACAGTGCGCTGCACTACGACACAATGCAAGGACCTCGGTTGCCGTGATAACACTCAATGTAGACACTCATTAGCAGTCGCAGCAAACGCAGGAAGTGGCATACCAGCAGTGTAGAATCCTGCGCAAGCTCTTCCCACTGCTCCAGTGTTGGGAGTATGAACTCGAGGACCAGAGAGATGGTCGGATCCGCAGCGGGTGCAACAGGACCCTGGTCTTCCTTCGGAATGGAGGCAAAGATGCTGTCCAAAAACTCACAGCAGCTCTTCTCCAGTGCATCACTGCAAAAACAAACATTGGCAATGGTATTACCGACTGTCTCGACATACACTGTGTATTGCCTATGCAGTCATTCATGAACAGTTCTTTGCACATACACATTTAAAAGTTTAAACCAAAGCAAAGCCATTAGCTGGTTGATTCCTAACTAGCTAGAACTCGGAAGGAACAGAAACAAAATTGGTAGAAATATGTAAACAAAGGTTTGTAAAAATCAAATAAGCCATTGCCGGTTTTTTGTTTTCTCTGAAAAGACTGCCATCAAGTACCATAAATGGTGCAAAGTGCTCAGATAGAGTACATAACTAGGTGGTAAATTTTTTATGCCCGCCAGTATCCTTTAAAAAAAAATGGAAAAAAGTGCCGAAGACGTTCTCACGCCAAGTGTCGAGCAGTGCACAGGCATCAGTGTATCCGCAACATTGATGGTAAAATACTGCACGAGCCAAAGGGATCGCTGGCCCTTTGCCTTTTCCGCATTCTCAACTGTTCGAAGAGAATCGTGACGTTACATTCCTCGCTTGATCGTGCCCTTCTTTTGCAATACGGCCATCCGTTTGAGATATCAATGTACGAGTAATGTTTTGGAGTTTGTGATGTCCCGTTCAACGCTTCCTGGGCCTTATTTTGTGAAATCCATATTTTGGTTCAGCATCCCTTTAACATATTGAGCTAAGATTTTGTAGTGGCTAAAGATGATGCATTTCATGTATCAAAATTTAAAATAAGTGAGCTTACCCGAGTAAAGAGTAACAAATTAAGAGGCTGAATTTGCAACCTACAATGTTTGCCTGCCAACGAAAGGAGTCCGATTGGTGCAACAGCTGACAGATGGTAACAGCTGTTGACATATAGCCCAAATTTCCCGAAAAAAATCTTTCTTTTGTGTTTAGTCAGTGTGTTTTGTAAGGAAAAAATTAATGCACTACGCAAAAAATACTCTAGTTGTATTTGACTAAAAAAAACTGTCTGCTATCGAAGAACAGTCTCTATGCCCTTGCTCTCACCCTGCCCTGTCCCCATCTGTCTTCATCTAATATGTCGCGACAGTGGGTGAAGAGCTTTTTCTTCAGAAGAAGCAACTTACCGCTTTCCGTGGGAGAGCTTTGCGAGAGCCAGGGAGTTGAGCTGTGACGAGATCTTGTGTAGCACCCCCTCGGGAGCCATGAATCCACCACGGGCCTTGACGATCATCGAGATTCCCCGCTGCCACGACTGACTGACTTTTTCGTTAATTTCTGCCCAGAACAAAAAATAAAATAAAAAATTTACAGGCAAATAAAATCTCAGAAGTCTCAATATACGACGGCATGGCAATGTTGGCCAACAGCCCAAAAATTGCAACTAGACAGTGTAACAAAAACGATCTATGAGACAAGAAATCAAATATGTCCTTACCAGGTGTAGAACACAGAGAATTTTGGCAGTCCAAGAAGAAAAGGGTGTAAAGGAACTCCTCAGATTCAGGCAACTTCCAGCAGCCCTAAAAGGGTCAAGATGCGTTAGGTCACAGAGTGAGCAGCCCTCGCAAAAAGGCGATGAGGTAGAAGAAAATGTTGAAAGAGAAGAATGTCGAACCTCATAACTGGAGAAGAGAGTCTGTGTGACTTCACAAACAAAGTCTACCGCTTTTAAGAGCTCTTCCCCTTCAACTTTGGTGAATTCTTGAAGAGTCTGACGTAACATGCTCAGAATGGCACTCAAGTTGGATGTCGAAATCAATGGCTCTGAAAAGAAACCAGTCTCAGGACATTGAGACAACACAACAGTTTTCTATTCATCGGCCCAGTTCTCTACCTGATATATGCTACATCAAAAAGTTGCAAAAAATTTTGTAAATAACTGGTTGACTGTCTACAAAGCAGGAAATGTGACAAGCAAAGATTGGTAACAAAATGTGCGCAGTTGCATTTCAATTTATCAATCAAACCACCATATGCAGAGTTGCGTTTTGAGGAATGCGGTGGACGCTAATTTCAATTTCAGCCTTCCAGGCACAAAGCAATCTGTCAGTTTTGCAACATCCTTCTTTGGACCTTTTTTTTTTTTTTTTTTTTTAGCTTTTGCAGCTGGCAAAGTTTTTTCAAGGCACCTCAAATTTCTCTTTCCTGTCTTATCTGTTTTTTTTTTTTGTTTTTTTTTATAGTTATGCTGTGTGGCCGCCGGAGCTCGCGGCGCAGGTGTTTGGTGGCAGGCCAAAGCTTTTAAACTGTGGCATGCTTTACTATTCAAGAGTACATCAAAGAAAGCTTCAATAAGAATGCAATTCTACATTATAACTACTGTAAACAACTTATTTTTCGCGGGCTCAATATTTCGCAATTTAGGTCAGAGCTGAAATTTTAGAATAATTTGCGGGTTCCAATTTTTGCAACGCGGGGGGATCTCGATGTTGGTTCCAATGTGTTTACATTTTACCGGAATTGTTAGCGGGACCTATTTTTCGCTAATTGTAGGCAATTCGCGAAAATTTGCTTTTTGCGAAAATTAAGTTGTTTACAGTATTTGCAATTTATTGAATACATGAAAATGAATGGAAACGTGACTGTAGCAGCAATATAAAAGACGAGACCAAAGCCAGGATAAGAGAAGAAACTACCAGGGAGGTTTGCAGTCTCCAGCCCTGCCCTCAACACCCTCCAAATGAGCTCCGACTGGGAAGCACAGCTTGGGACGAGCTTCCGAGAAAGCTCCAGAAGTTTCTCAGCCAGTCCGGTGCTCTTGAGCCATTCCCGGACCCCCGGATGGCTCTTCCAGCAGTCCAGCGACTTCTCGAGAAGGATGGCCATCATCTGCTCATTGTCCTGGGAACATTGAGATAAAAGCTCTAAAACTGGAACAGCCATTAGAAAGCAGCATTTGGAGATGATGCGCCCCATTTCAAACCAAGGTGACTGAGGTCTTAATTATACAAATAAGGTCAGGCACTACAAAAAAGCCTCAAAGTGGGCATTAAGCAAAGGGAAGAGGAGAGTTCTGATCACAGTGGCAGTAAAGTATATGCCTGATGAGCAGTTCCTGATTTCTAGGGCTCGGCTAATTCCTAACTTGAGCTCGAGTTCTCTCAATTAGGCAGCATTCTCTCTGAAATGTGAGAGGTTTCTAAAGAAATGTGCAAGAACAAGTACAAACAAAAGCATCATATACTGTCGCTGTTAGATGTCTCCTACTTGGAGAAGCCCATATAATAATAATATCTTTATTTTCCATTTACAGTGGTGGAGGTGTTAAGTGAAAGGCTTAAAAGTGTTGTGCAAATACCGATGTGAAACATTCTTTGGCTTGGTGTTTGGCATTCCGAGATGACCAGATGAAAGAAAAGCCTGGATAAAAGCGTGGCCGCAAGGCTTGACATCAATTGGTTTAAGGGTGGGAGAGGAGGTGTGAGGTGCTCGATGCTGAGTGGTTAACAGGGAGGTCCTGCGACCAGAAAGGTAGGCAAGGGAAAGCTCGACCCCAGTGTGCACTGAGGAAGAGGAGCTCCAAGTATGGAAAGCTCTGGAAGATCCCCAGGTTTATCAGCCCGATAAGCCGAAGTATCGCTTTGTTCTAGGAACAACTATCAAATGTACACATGGTTTACGTTAAACTATGTGATGAGTGCTGTGAACGCAGGCATCTGGAAACTCAGTATCGCTAAAGGTTTTGTTAAGCTAGAATATTTTATGTATGCAAAAATGTGCATACATAAAACCTAACAATTTACCATGAATTTTCAAATACAAGTTTTGAATATTACGCTATTCCGTATTCGGCAAATGCCAAATAGCATAAATTAACCGAATAGTAACCTCTTTTCCCCCCGGCGCGATTATGAAATAGCAGTCAAGCAGCAATGTCTTGACAGCCTGTGTTCATCATTTATGCTTGTTTTGTTTTAATTTTGTCAAATTTGAAATAGAAGAAAACATATTTGCATATACCAAGCAAATTTATAAATCACCTCGATTAGGATAACTGACAAATTTTTCGCTTACATGCCACAGTTCATATAGTAGTTATATCCAAATAACTGAGCTTAGAAGGGGACAATCTGAAGGTTGGGAAGCTTCACAAGCTCAGCTGCATTTTCGTTTAAGCATGGTGCACGGTAGTGAAAGACTGAGAAACTATTCAATATTCAATTTCAAAATATTCTACCAAAACCACTATTCGAACTCGAAATCTACTATTTGCAACTGACTAGGCTTAACACATATAGAATGCATAAAAATGCAAAGAAACAGCCAAAAAGAATCATGCAGGAATTCCAGTATACCTACTACCATCTAATCTCATTGAAGTCCCACCAGAACAAAATGGCTCTATTAAAATTCCTTTATAAGAGGCAAGCTTTCTGGGGTTTTTTTCACAATTTTTTACTTACCAACAAGCTCCCAGAATTGAAGAACTCCACAGCTTCATCGACGTCGGCGCAGAAGGAGACGATAAGAAGGCAGTCCACAACTTCAGAACAGTAGCCCTCCACATCCACAGTAGCCGGTACCTCACCGACCAGCGGCCTGAGGAACTCCAAAAACATGCTCGCGACACTGCCGTTATCCACCTTTCCGGAGTGCCCCAGTTCGAGCTCACCCAGCAGAGCTCCGAGAAAACCACTCGAGCAGACGGCCCTCAGCAAACCTGTGACCGCCTCCACGTAAACCAAGTCCACACCGCTGCCAGATGGAGCCGCCCTAGCCCTCTTCAAGACTTCCGAACAGATCTTCGTCGTGTTCTGCATCAAATCGGGGAAGGCCTCCAAGGGAGACGAGGAACTGTCGAAGGATGGCACAGTCTGCTTGCTGCGCCTCGAGGGCAAACCGGGCTTGTCGTCTGCCGAGAAAATGGCAACTCTGCGCTGGCTCCTTGGGGTTGTGGGCGGCCGGTGAATGTCACGCAGCAGCGTGGTCAGTCGGCGTAGAGAAGCGGAGTCGGGGGGAGAAGAGGTTGCCACTTCCAAGCCCACTTCGAGGAGCTTCTTCCAAAGAAGCTGCAGACACTCCTCGTAGCCGGCCTTCAAAGTTTGGTCGGTGTCGTCTGCGAGCGCTTTCTGCAACAGGTAGGTGTGAAGGCTGGAGAACTCGTAGTAGAGCCGGGTAGGCCAAAGACGACTTGAGGAGTCCACGAGGCAGGATTTCATGACGGGCATGAGCTGAAGGTGAAGAATGCAGTTAAGAATAATCGTCGTATAGAAAGGATTTTGAGAAGATACGGCTGACCTTGCATGTACCTACTCAGTTTGAATAGTAGAGATAATAAAGCTTCTAGTAACTGGACAGTACTGCATTTCATATCCATTGGCGGTATTAGAGAAAGCGCATACGGAAGCACTTGATGTATGAAGGGAATACTAGATTTTGTACTTCCAGTAAAATAAAAAAGTAAACTGAGTGAAATGAACTACCATGTAAACTACATCAGTGAAAATGTACTTTTAACAAGAACTATTTCAATGTGATCTCCTTTGGTGCACTCTCTTTATTACCAAATATGTGATTAGTAAAACAAAATCAACTTGAAGCAGGGGTGGAAGAATAAAAAACTGAGTGGATGAAAAGGAGGCAAAAGACCTTATAGCTGACCCCTTTGTTATTTTTCTATATTATTGCTTCAATCTACTACTATCACTACCTTGAGCTAGCAGCACACAATGAAATGCCAGTAAAAATGCAAAACTGATATAACAAGTGTTACATCTAAAAAGACAGCACATGCACAAATGCACAACGTTTAACTTTCATCAGCTTGCAAGCATGAAAACTCTGCCTCTGGTTTGAGAAGCTTGTGATAATCAGTTAAGCAAAGGGTTGTATTCTCCCCAGAGTGGGCGGCAGTGGCTTCGCCGCCCACCGCTCCGAGAGACTGCCCATTGCTCTGACTGTCCATCCACCACTCAATAATGCCACAGGATGACTATGCGATTTTACCTGGGCACATAACTGCAGACTGAGGCCTGCACACCGCCACGTTATTGCGTGTGATTGCATTGCCGACTGCCACCACTCTTTCAAGCAAGGAGAGCGGAGCCGCAGAGCGCCGGCAGTGAGGGGAGGGTAAGGGGGGGGGGGGGGGGGGGCGGGGGGCTCGGCCAAGGAGAAGCACAAAATAAACAGATGCCACCAACACGCACCACGCAGCAGTTCTCTACGCAGCCGGTGAGTGGCAGAGAGCAGAAAGCCGAGAGGACTCTTCTTTCACTGTTCAATGCTTGCTCGTGCGGTGGCTTGCTTTACCTCTGCCTCTTCACTCACTCCCTGCCTTTCCTTCCCCACTTTATTTTTTTTAACAGCAGAGCTGTTAAGGGCTAGTTTCCCCAGTATCGTGTCTGTCAGCAAACAAATGATGACACTAAACTCCGGACAGCTAACGCCATCTATGAGCGGCGGTGGCAACCTCTCCAGCCTTTCCACTCTGGCTTGCCGACTTGCAGCCGGTCATTACTTCCTTCCCACCAAAGTACAGCTTCCCTGGTTTTCCTTCTTCCCCAGAGTGGAAAGGATGAAAGCTTTTTTCCCCCAAGGCAATTTGGTTTTTGTTTTATCACTGCAGTGTGGCGCCACTCACAAGGCCAAAAAGGAGAGCCTACACAAAGTGCGTTCTGCTGGCAAGCCAGATCCTACCGCACTGCAAACGACCTCTCACCCCCCCCCCCCCCCCCCCCTTCGTCTGTATGGTGCCCCCCCCCGCCGCTCGCATGGTGGTTATGTCAACCTATCAAAAATTCTTGGAGAGAACTCTGGTCAAAAGGTTCCATAATCCCTTCAATTATTCATCACAGGTTGAATTTGACAAAAGTATCATCTAGTACTGTCTGTTAACAGTAGCTGAGTCAACAACTGTCTGTTCCCAGCAGTACCAAAAAATGTTGCCCAACCAAGTAAAGTGCAACTCTTGGAGTGAAATACAAGTACTTAAAGCATACAAAAAAAGCATATCTGAAGTACTTTAAATACTTTACCACACAGAATAATCGGTAACTATTTATCTGAGTACATACTGTCAGCTGCATATAAGACTGAAAATAGGAAGATATATCTGGCTGGTTTTATGAAAATTACCAACACGAAGATAGACATTAACGAGAAAAACAAAGGAAAAAAACATAGTTTCTGCTCATGTTTTTACCATATTAGAAGCATGCCCATCCTATTGCTGCCAGTCAAATGTCCCTCTTTTTCTGCCCATCGTTTTGAGTAAGCTTGTAAGGTCATGTAACCAGATGCTTCAAGACAATCTAGTCCCAGCTCGTCCCAGCTAGATTGTGAGCAGGTACGCCAAATTACTAGGGTTGTGCAAATATAATATTCTTCAGGTGGTAGTTTGAAATAATAATTCAATATTCGCTTCGAGACTAACTACGATATCTGCGATGTTCTAAGCGTTGATCGCGGTGGGTGAGCCCTGTCAAGTATGCTTCTTACCCGGCACCAGTGCACTGCGGAGAAGCATTACTCACAAGAGCTGACACCACAATCCCGAGAACCTCGCTTTGTTGCAGCGCAGCCACGTGCTTAAAAAAAAAAGCACAGCTTCAAAGCGGGGTGGTGCACACGGGCACCCGTTGTATATAAAAGGAAACCAAATCTTTGTAAATGTTGATAGTCGAACAGTTATATCACACTCGGGTATTTTGAAATATTGTTTATATTAAACAGTCCAAACATCCCCTTGAAAATAACATGTTATAGGAGCCTTGTCTTTTTGTATCCAATTCCCATGGCGGGGACACTCGATATAGCGAACAAGAATGAAGCCCGGCCGCCCGTTGCTTTTCTTGCGGTCTGATTGCTAATTGCACCGGTGGCAAGCACATCGCTTGTTTTGCGTGGCTAGCAGACCGCCAGCATACACGTGGGAAGAAAAGCAACAAAAGGGCGGTTGTGGGAGAAAGGGGGAACAGTGAACCGTAAAAACAAAAAGTGGAGGATGGCAAAAGCAAGGGGAAGGGCACGCGCACGCCCGTAGGGAAAGCAGGGAGTGCCCACTGTTGGAAAAGTAGGCTGCACCTTTTCCCCGAACTCTGCTGATGCTGCGACTCCCTAGCCCCAGAAATAAAATAAGAAAAAGAAAAAAAGACTTCGGCAAGTCAAATGAGTGGACACAACAATTGTGCAATCACACTTTGAATACCTTATCTTGATTTACCTTTTTCTTTTGCCGTTTTTGCTTTACCCACTTCTTTTTTTTTTTTCATTTCTTTTTTTACTATTTGAATTTAGTGAGTTTTCTTTTTTGTTGCTTGCTTAACTTTTTTTCTATGGATCAGAAGATTTTTTTATGCACCTTGCTTTTACGTTTTTCTTTCATTTCTATTTTTATTATTTTCGTGTTTTGTCATTTATGCTGTGTGGAGGCCCCGGCCAGGTGCGCGTGTAAGTGCGGCGGAGTTTGCCGTCTCTGCCAACTACGCTCTACTGTATTTAGTGGCTCTTGGATGCTCTATTTGGTAAGCTCCCGTTTGTTGCAACCTCTGGTATTAGCAGAGGTGCCAAGAAATTTTAACTCGAGCTTAATTTAAGATATTTTTGTATATTAAATTATTGATATATTGAACTATTTTACAATCGTTTTTCAATTCAATATATCCGGGTTCGACATATCAACATTGCAGTAAGTTTTTTAAAATTAAAATGTGGATATTATGCAATAGTATATACTGGGCAGTAATGTCCTGACAACCTGTGTTCATCGTTCATGCGCTTGTTTTCTCTTTCTTTCAAATTCGAGATTGTTGAGAAGATATTTGCATATAACAAGATTTATAAATCCTCTCAATTAGCTATAGCTGGGTAAATCTAAAGGTTTAACCCCTTAAAGAGATACTACAACGAAATTTCGGTGCTCATTTTTTTGGTCTATATGTGTTCAAAAGAGCAGTATCACATGGAACATACCAATATCTTGTTTAAAGAGTCTCGAAAAGTAATTTTAAAACGAATTAAACGATTAGCAAAGAGCACCTGGTGGATGTCGCTAACGCCTCGTTTGTAATGCTCGTCTAGGGACCTTGACAGCTATAGTCGGTTGCAAGCTAAGAAAAAACCAGAAATGCCTCTCAGAGGAAAATGTAATCCTACGCCGAGAAACGCCAGCCAATCGTTTTCATGACGTCACGATTCCGTGGACCAATCGCGATCCTTTTGAAAAAAAAAAAAGCTCAACATGGCTGCTGGCCTTAGCAACGCGACGCTAGTTTCTCGTGACAATTATTCTGCTTTTTTGCACCGTGTTTTACGTGCCCGAGGTTACGCCACGAAATCTTAATGGTATCGGCTTGCGTTTGCAGCCGTTTTTGAGCGACAACGTGAGAATCCAGCGACGCTATCGCCAAGGAAAATTTCGAAGCGGGCGCGAGGCTTAGCACTGCTGAGAGGTATGTTAGACGGTATGTTAGACAGTATCTTGGACAGAAAATGAATTGGGAAGACGGTACATTGGACATGACTTTATTTCTTTACTAAACAGCTATTTCGTTGACAAAAACATATTCTAACTTATTTAAATGTCCTGAATGAATTAAATAAAGATTGTAGTAGTTTAAGACACGTTTCCTGAAGGAAGAAAAAGCAACGTTGCTAGCGAACTACTTTCTCGACGGCGGAGGCACTTCAGATGGGCGCAATGCGCTTGTGGGTGGAGCTAAAAGATTGTTCTCAGGTTGCATCCGACTATAGTGACGGAGGTTGTCTCGTCTTCGGCCACGACGAGAGAAGGGGGGAAGGAGGAACTCCCCTCTTCCCGAAAATCCCTTTTGTGTGTCGCAGAAGTCGCTATTGTCCCCCTAGAAGATTATAGAAGATTAACCCGTCACTCAAAATTCGTACAAAAGCAGCCGCTTCGGTGGCTGGAACGACTAGGCCATCCTCTCGACGTCAGCCTCGCCGTAGCTTTGCTCGTCTTGAGACGACCTACGTCACGATTGCGTTGGATGTCACGTCCTCTAAGCTGGGCCTTCTCCGAGCACTTGCCAGAGTGGGCCGTTTATAACGAAAAATACAGCCCCCAGGATCAAAATACAAACGTGCGATTGTCATTTACGGATATTGTGGATCATCTTCAACCTATTTTTGAACACGACGGGAATATTTCAAATTTCGTTGAAGTATCCCTTTAAGTGCCAAAAACTTTTTTTCCAAAAGTAACCTAATAGTGGTTACTTTTGGACTTTTTTTTTTTGGAACTTTTTTTCCAAAAGTAACCTAATAGTGGTTACTTCTGGGTAACTCACACTAACTACGTAACTAACAACGCCAATCGCATGCTTGGATATCTCAAACGAAATTTTTCACAGTCACCAGTGTCACTAAAACTCCTTTTATATACTACTTTAGTACGTACTAAACTTGAATATGCATGTTCTATCTGGGACCCCGGTCATAATACTATCATTGAAACATTGGAATCGGTTCAAAATCGTGCAGCACGTTTCATACTCTGTAATTACCATCGTACATCCAGTGTTACTTCAATGAAAAATACCCTTGGTTTACCCACACTAATGAACCGTAGACGCATTTTTCGCCTCACTTTATTTCACAAGATTTACCATAATAACCCTTTCATGCGCCATGAACTTCTAACGCCACCTACTTATGTTTCATCCCGCGTAGATCACCAGTACAAAGTCGGTATCCCCAATTACAAAACTAACACTTATTATAACTCCTTCGTTCCTCGTACTAGCTCCGATTGGAATCGCCTTTCCGCTGACATAGCCTCCATAACCAATATTATTGATTTTAAAAATGCCTTGTTTGTTAGTTTTCATTAACCATTTTCTAGTTGTTATTACTGTTATAACATTGTGTAAATATTTTTGAAGTGTCTAAGCAAGCGTGCATTAATTACTGTATCATATTTCATGTATCAACAACTGTACCCTGTCACCTAATCCCCCCCCCACTCCCCTCTGTAATGCCCTTCGGGGCCTTGAGGGTAAATAAATAAATAAATAAATAAATAGTGCTATACTTTTTTTTATTATTTTGAGTTGTTATTCCGCTAGTATTACACATAAAATTTGAAAAGTTTATTACACAAAAATCCGCGGAGGCGAAAAAAATATTTGCCAACTAAAACGAATGCTGCCATCTATGCTGCAAAACTACTCAGACAAGCCTTAGCTTGTCCGTGCAATTGAGGGCTACCGACAAAAACCACTGGACGAGCTGAGCTCATCCACGGCATTTTTAGCCAGAAAGTGGCTGATGAGCCAAGCTCGTCCAAGGCACTTAAGGGGTTGATTTTATGACTAATCAAGCCCAGCTCGTCCAAGGCACTTAAGGGGTTAATTTTATGACTAATCTGTTGTTTACTTGCCACACCAATGTAGGCAGTGGACTTTCTGAGGCCACAGTCCATAAATATACTTAGATTTAAATTAACTGAACTTAGAAGTGGACAAGTGGAAGCTTGGTAACAACCTTCACACGCTCAGCTGAACTTTGTCTAAACGTGGTGCAGCACTAATGAAAGGTTTAGAGAAACTATTCCATATTCGATTAGAAAATGTTGAGCCAAAACTACCATTTGCTTCAAACTGAAAAATTCACAATTTGCACAGACCTGCAAATTACAGCTGTTTCACTAAAATGCTCTAAGAAACCCCTATGTTTGAACTCAACCCCGGATTACTTTTCCAAGCTCTTGTTCTTAGTGCCCTGCAATAAACTCAATGACACTAAAGAGACCAGGGCTATAAGCAAAGCCATGAACATGGAACTTACCTGTTCTTGCAACAGAAGTTTCCTAATTGCCACTGAACGTTCATCCGACCCCAAATGCTGCGTGACCACGTAACGAAGGCATTCCGTGAACGACTGGATGACAGCATTGCACTCTGACACAGATCCCTGAACCTTTGGGTTGAGCAGCCTAGTGGGAAATAGGACACTCGCTAATATAAGTAAGTGCATTTTACAATATCCTAAAACAATATTTACTGGGACACAAAAACAAACAATTTAATCATTGTGTTGCAGCAAATCTCCATACTATTAAAATTATTTACTAACTTCATTACAGCCAACGAAGTCCACCCACCCTTCCCGAAATGCGTCGAAGAACACCCTGTAGAACTCGACTGTGTCCCCCATCACATCCTGTGGAATCAGGCTGAGAAAGGGAAGTAGGTTGGGGTGGATGTGGACAGCACTGCCGAACCCGCCATTCTTCAGCACCCTCCAGAGCTGAGGTAGTACAGCTTTCCTGGCATCCACATGCTTCCAGCAGTCCTGTCAAGAAAAGAGTCCCAGGAAATACTCTAACATCAGGAGTTTTCATAAACAGTTTTATATTTATTTTTTTCCAATTACTCGGTTATTTTGGGTTACTTCAACAGTTTTTTTTTTTTTTAGGCAAGCAGCAATATGAAACAATGACAGTGAATGCTTGATGTGTTTGGTTAGGAAAAGTGTACAGTAGTGCACAGAGCAAAACCAAAGGCAAAACTCTGGACAGCAGTCTCGGTCAATACAGTCGAATCTCGTGAATTCAAACTCAAGGGGGACCGAAGATTTGTTTGAATAAAGCAAATTTTGAATTACCGAAGTTTTCTCCCATAGAGACGCATAGGATGGGACCTGCGTGTTAGTTTAAAATATCCAAAAGTTTGAATTAAGAGAGTTTGAATTAACGAGATTTGACTGTACTACCAGACGAAACATCAAATTTCTTTTTCCAATTCTAATAGAGTAGGCAAAATGCTAGTATCATCAACTCGATCACAAGCTAACCATTGCTCTGTTGACTGCACAAGTGCTTCGTGTTACACTTTTTCACCGAGACAAAACTACCAGATGAAAACAAATAAAACATGTTCCCCACCAGCATACCTGTGATACAGCCATCCACAACTAAGAAAGAGAACTGAAATGTGGCGACTCCAACAACGTACCGGTATGGCCGACACCACAGACAGGGTTGCCTCCCAGATGGGCACTGCGACTAGTGGCTCCGTCTCAGCCAATGAACCCAGCGTGAGGGAGCACAGCTTGGGTGCAAACTTCCCGCTTGCTTGGGGAATCCGGCTGACCGTGGCTGTTAGGCTGTACCATGACTTGCGCACCTGAGCCGAAAAGCAAAGCGCTCACCAAACTTTCATGTTGGGAAATTTATACGAAGTATATTCTTTTAGAAGGCCAACTCGTAGTACTTTGCAGAGGGCACTTGAAAATAGTACGAGCTGCGACTCGGAAGCTGGGCAATAATTCCACCATGGTTTGTTTCAACGTGTCACAATCGTCGTCACAAAGTAGGTGTCAGATTTTGTGAGCCGAACAGTATGTTATTGTTTGACAGGCGAATCCCATCACAAATTGTTTCAGCATGTAATGATCCCCGTCACAAAGTCAGTGTCAGATTTTGCAAATAAAACAATACCAAAAAGAAGCAATGTGCATCATATGAAAATCTAATACCGTAATATCCCGAAATGCCCCACCCCCAAAAGATAACCCACCCCCTATTTTTTGCATCATTTTCTATTTTTCCTTAGACATCGAAAGATAGCCCACTTCTAGAAATTGCAGGGCCTTGTCCAGTGGTGACCTCAGCAGAAATGGTGCTACTTAGCCGTGGCTGGAGATGAGCAAACATTGCCGACTGGAAAGGGCAGTAGTTTTTGGCTCATTGCCTCTCCCTGCAATCACAAGTTAGGCAAGTCACAATATCTAAAACTAGCATTTTTTTTACTTTTTTTTTTATCACACATTGAAAGTTAGTTTACTTATTTTCACACAATTTGCTTTTGATTTCAGCTGGGCTATCTCTTGGGATATTACAGTAGGCTTTTCTTTGTTTAAAAAATTAGAGAAAACAAAGGTCTGGTTCAGAACAGCCTCCTTCCAGAATCCCACAGATTACTGCACCTACAATATGTGCATCAGCTTCCCATGAGTATAGAAACTCGCCAGCCAATCCCCAATGATGACCAGCACAGACTATGCCCGCATAATTTCAAAGATACGTTGCTCCTCTAGTGACTGTGAGAGTGTGTGCAGATGCCCAGCCCTTCCCTCCTCTTGCATACCATGATGTCCTTGTGCTTGGCCGCCTTCCAGAACTTCCCTTCCTCGAGAATGGAGAACAGCTGGTCTGGACAAGACTCCAGCGAGAGAGCTTCCAGAAGCGTCTTGAGGCCGAGAAGAGAGCAGCTGAGCCAACGGTAGTACTTAGACTGCTGTTCGTCTTTGGACAGGTCCCTGACGAGAAATGATGAACCATTCACGAAAAAGTCCTAAATGTAAACAAACTGACAACACGGTGCTATGCACCGAGTCGGGCACTTGGAATGACGAGACACTGGAGTCAAGAACAGTGATGGAAGTGCCATTTGACCTTTTGGAGCAGGCCTTGTAGCAGGCAAAATGTTATTTTGGAGCAGGTAGTGGCCCTTTTGAAACAGGGTCCGGCACATATTGCCATATTACTCGAAAATGAAATAATGCTGCATTGCTATATGAAGCCCTTCTCTATTATTGGAACACAGCGCCTGTCGCCTTTTTAAGACAGGATATATAAAATTCAACAAAGCAAACACAAAAAAAAACATTTTTCTTTTAAATAAAGTTTATCTTCTTGTCAGATAAAAAAAATACAATTAAATATGTCACACTGAGTTCTGATGGTACAGGATATTTAGTTTTATCAGCCTGCACTTCTTTTAAGGTATCTGCAGCAGCATCTAGCGACCCTCACTGTTGTGGAATTTTTTAGTTCAGATTAGAGTTGTCTTTCGGGCAGCAGCTTCAAACATTGCGGTATCTGATATTGGCTTCAAAAATTCCGATGCATTTTCGATGTGCTGGCGAAGTCACGATCGGATCACGGCGAGTTAACCCGTTAAGTGCGCTCCTTGGCATGCACCGAAGCACTGCAGAGAATTGACACCCGCGGAGCAGACACCGCAGTCGCGCGAGTCGCGCAGTGCTTTGTGCTCCGAAAAGGACGGTGAGGCTTTACCAGCACTACATCCAGAGTTAGGTGCAACTCAACTATACTTCGTTTCAGCTTCGGTGCGAGCGCAGCCAAAGCTATAAGCGCGCGCATGGAGCCCGTAACGGTGCCCACACTGCACGAGCCCACGCGCGGGTCAGGAATGCAAAAAGCATTGGGTTCGCGCTAGCTTTGACTTCGCTGGTATACTTCGTCTCACCTTAGTATGGACTATTGTTAGCCGCGCGTGCTAAAAGCGCGAGCTAGCTGCTTTAAATGAAGCTGCGGCGGCTGCACGAGCGCTCGTGCAGCAAGTGGTCTAGTCAAGGCAGTCAAGGCTGGCCGCTCGCGCTAGCACAGCCTTCGCGGTTAGTCCATGCTAGGGTGAGACGAAGTATGCCCGGGAACAGGGCGGGACAACATTAAAAACATCCACAGCTCGGCCTTAGGCTGCTCAGTGGGATGGTTCTTCGCTTAGCCTCTGCGGCTTCGGTCTCAGATGTTGCTAACTTTGTTCCTTTCAGTGATGATGATGATAATGCGCCTTCGCAGTTTCGGTTTGCGTAACAGTTACGGCGCGGAAAATACCGCGGTACCGCCACGCGCTCTGATAAGACTTCAATTTGTATTTTTTATTGCTACATCTCATCTCGGCGCAGGCATGGCGCAATTCTTCGGTAAGTGACAATTTGGCGCTACATGTAGCAGGATTGCGTCCTTGTCGCAATTTGGCACAATTGGCGCAGCACTTCCATCACTGCAAGAAGTCTTGACGCTCAAATTTTGTAATCAATTGGTCTTATATGTCAGCTGGGTAAGTTTTCAGGCACACTACAAAAGCACTACAAAGAAGTAGTGTGACTAAATACTCAATATGATCATAAAGGCCAATAAGTAGCACGCACTTTGAATCTGGAACAGACTCTGGAGACTGCTGTAGGATGACATCACTCATGTACTGCAAAGAAGCAAACGAAAGGAGGTTACCTGCGCAACTGTCCAGAATGTGCGCAACAGCATTACTAGTATTCATAAAAACTGCTAAAAGAAACCATCTCAGATTCAGCTGGCGTTTTTTACAGTGCATCTTAAGAGAAGTCTGCAATGCTTTGGTTTCATTTTTAATTGCAATAGAAGTGCTGTACAGGAGACACTATCGAAATAATTCCTTGTTTTAAGCACATGGAGCACACAACCTCAAAAGTAGCAATAGCCAGAAATCGACCATTTTTAGGCTTACTTATAACAAAAGCCTTGCTACGAAATAACAGATTGCAAACGAAGTGAACTTCAACACACAATGTAGAAACATCTATTCCAGGGGTTCTCAAATGGGGGTCCGCAAAGGCATTCTAGGGGTCCGCGTTCATCAGTCAAGCCCGGCAATAAAAGTTTTTTTTCCAGTTCGAGAAGAAATCTTTCAGTTTTTGGGCGAGTTTCGTTGTGTGCATGTCAATAAGAAAGGTCTACTTTACAGTAGCTCTTAGTAAATCAATTTATTCAATTATTACTATATTTAACCTATACCAAAGGGGTGAAATATACTATATTTAACCCCTCACCCCGAACGGGGTCCTCCATCATCTCCGCCGATCCACAAGGGGTCCGCGAAACATAGATGGTTGAGAACCACTGATCTATTCTATACATGTGGGCAAAGAGTTAATAACTCCACATTGAATGTTAACTCTTTTCATTTCACGAGCTCCATCTTAACTCGTGAAAGTTGCAGAACCTGAACCACAGTTTTGTACGACAGGCATACAGATGAGTCATTGAACAGGCATACTGCTCAACTACTGACGACCACAGAGCTGAGAAAATAAGCCAAAAAGCTGGACAAAAAATCTAAAAAACACTAGAATAAAATAAAATAAAATGTTCTTTTATTTAGAACATACATCTTTTATACATCCTTTATTTTTAATTTTTATGCCCCAAAAATAAAGAGATAAAAGGATTGTGCAATATTTACGCTGTTAGACGCAGTTTAGGTGAAGGTTGCCAGCTCTAGGCCTCACTCAGCAGCGTAGCTAGCTATGCTCCATTTCTTGGCTCTCATTGGTCGAAGAGATGATTGACGTGTGGAATGTTCATTGTAAAATTGTTTCTCCCTGCAGTGGCAGTCTTTTACTTTTTTTTTATGATTGAGAAACAAAGTATATAGATAGACTCACTCTTGTCAAAAATGTCACGAGATCGTCTTTTCCGCTTTGGTTTCAAAAGGTAACAAACATGGCTGCTGGCGAGAGGTTTCACAGACCGTGCAGCTAGTTTAGCTTGTCTATTTTTACAAGTGCAAGTCATTTCACATTCATCAAGCTATTTAGCGAAAGATATACTCAACCGACGCAGTTTGCAGCAAACAACTGTCGCAAGTATGTACCTTTGGAAGCGCTGTGAAGGTGCTTGTTTTTGTAGCGTAGTGTAGCATCTCACGTCAACTAATTTGCTTGATGTGGCAAGAAAATGTACCATCTCAACCCTTTAAAAAAAATTTTTTTTCATTTCAGTGTTTTTTAAAAGGGACACTGACAGGGTATTTATGCTTGCCGAGGTTTAGTTGTACATGACATATGAGAGCCCAACTACCCAGAAGAGAATTTGCGGCTCGAAATTCGGTGTCTTTCCGCCGGAAAACCGCTGATCGAGGACTGGCCAATTTGAGTCAAGCTCACTCTCTTTCCCGTGGTCACGGGCCGTTTTCTAAGGTTTCAACGCGACCATCAAATTAAATCAAAATCGTGGGTCATTGAAGGCACACAGTCAATATTAAAGAAATAAAAAAACATGAAACCCATTTTTTGTGGCTTCCAGAAAGCTGCAAATATGTTGATTGAAAAAAAAAAGAGGTAGCACAGACAACCGGAAGCATTCTGTGCGTTCACTGCACAATTCTCAACATGGCGTCGTTTCGCGTATCGTGGGACTAGCGTATGGCAGCGGACGACCGGCATTGGACCTTTACTGCCTCTACTTCAGAACAGTCGTTCACGGTACCGGCAAATTCTGTCTTCCTTCGAAAGAAAAACTTTGGACCGATAAAAAAAACTGATATTCATCCCGTACGACTCGCCCGACCAGCAAGCCGATAGCACGAAGGCGTCGCCGAGCCGTTGTCTCTCTCGTGGCTGAAGACATCGCTCGCTCAAACGTCAAGCACAAAGTGCGTAATACAAGTTGAATACGCACGCATACGGTTTCTTTACGAGGTGCGAATGTGGCCTATGCATGGTGCTGCCCGACTTCAGGCCGGGAGAACTTCCAACATACAGTCTACCGGCTCGATTATTACGCGTGAATGAGTTCCTTCAGTCGCTCAGTGGAAAAATGTCCGCTTCACACGCAGCGGGCACGGGTTCGATCCCTAATGTGGGTGTACCATTTATTTATTTTTTTTCAAGCATTTTGTGATGCTTCCATTTTTTTTTTAACAATTATCACTTAAAAATACAATTGTTGTGGAAGATACATCGCTGAACTAATCGGTATGGGATTCTATTTTTGAAACCTGCAAACTCAATGTAGTCACTTTCCACAAAAAGCAAAGAGCACATAAATCGGGTAGCGTCTGCTTTCCGAGCTTCGCGTAACTGTTCTACAGCAATTGCAGCTAGCCATTGATCCCGACCCGTTGATCTTTCGGAAACTTGGGCACTCTGCCGCACAATGCCACTTTCAGGTGCAGGACATGTGAGGCAGCTCTTCATCCAACATCTTGAGAGTATTCTTTTCGGAGCCAATCACGAGAATTCACCACAGGCACTCACTACTAATTGCCAACACTTAAATGTACAAAGCAACTCATCTTGAAGTACAGAACAGCAAGCGGAACAAAGATAACTGCAAAGGAATCGCACAGCAAACAAATTCCCGAACGCATTTTGTCTGCTACGTGCAGAGAAAAAAAAAAAATAACACACGGTTGGGTGTAGTTACGTGACTTCCGCCACTCACTCTGTTCTCTCCACTTCACTGTGCAGTGCAGGAGTTTCGGTTTCGGTTTCGAGCAGTTGTGTTTTGTGGCTTTATTAAAAAGATATGTGACTGTAACAAAATATTAATTGGGTAGTATTCCAACACCGTAATAAATTGCCAGACAAAAAAGGAAAAAAAATTTTGGGGGGTGTCACTGTCCCTATAAAGAGTAAAGGTACTAACTCCAAGCTCGACTGTACATGCTCTCCCTGCCAAAAAACAAACAAACAAACAAACATAACACGCCCTCCCCCGTCTCCTCAATCAAGGGCTCATTACAGCCCGGTCCAATTTGACGACACTAATGGAGAGGATTCCACTACGTTGTATGCTGTGGCATGTCTCAAGAATGCCCCCAGAAATGGGAAGAACTCACGCTGAAGAGTTCCTGGCTGAAGAAGCTGAACACCTGTCCCTGTTTCTCCAACGGAAACGCCGCTTCGAATGCGGCCCTGGCGGCACTTGCCGACGGGGCAAAGGGGTCGTTCAGGGATGTTACCCACGCTCCAACAAGGGTCTTGGTGAAGGGGGCCAGCCCCTTCTTGACCCGCAGGCAGATCTGTTCGTGGACGCGGTGCGTTGCCTCACGCACTCTCCGGTCGTTGTCCTGGAGGCAATGCGCGACATTTGTTAGGACCGAAAAAAGATTTCGACTGAAAGTGCATGCCTCGCATGGCCTCCGGCAGTTTCAGTTTAGTGCCCCATGAATACCGAATCGGTCAATTCGCTCAAGAAGAGTGCTAAAAAATTTTGGGAGGGTGAAGCTCGTTTTTGTATAGGCTCACAAAACTCCCAAAAACTGTTCCTGGTAAGTGCTCGGGTAGCACACACGTCATAAAACAAAACTTCACTAAAATGTAAAAAAAAAGATTTCGAGCGACCTTTGCGTTGCGAGACACGTCTTGTATTGGGAGTGATGCCGATACTTCGGCACGTCAATTCGAAACAGAGGCATTTTTCAAAATCGCTCCTAGGGTCCCTGAACGCCCCCAAAAATATCTTTTCAAGCGTCTGGATTGCAGACGCATGCCACAAAATAAACTTTTCCACCAAAACAAAAATTTCTAGCGTAATACTTAGGTTGTGGGACTCATTCTGAGTGAGGAGCGATTCCAAATGTTTCGTCTATTTTGGCACGTCGTCCCGGAATAAAAGCATGTCACGATATTCAGAATGAGTCTCACCACCTAAATGTTGCGTTAAAAAGGTCTCTTGGAGAAGATACCATTTCATGACTTACACAGGCGCACTAAATAACAAAACTGAGTGTCTTTTTAACAAGAACCTGCGGGAAGCTTCAAAGTGACATCCGACATGTGCAAGTAAATACAGTGCGATCCACTTACAACGACACCACATATAACGATTTACCGCTTCTAACGATCAGTTCCTAGAGAACCATGTGTTTTTGTGTTGGGTCTACGTAAAAATAAGCCACACATAGCTATGAAATATATCAGGGAAATCGGCTACAACGATCATGAATGTGTGGATTGGAATATATTTTAAAAAATCAGACAAAAAATTAAACTAATAATACAAACACCCGCCAAACAAACGACACCCAACTTGCCGCGAGCGTATGCCAAACGGAGCGCAGTATCGAAAACCACCGCAAGTTGTCGCCATGCCAACCTATATCATCAATATGGGCGTCAGTCGTCACATTCGAAAGACGGCACCAGCAAAATGTATGCAGTGAAAACCTAAATTTCGGCAGTTTCAGTGGAGATGAAAGAAACATTTCTGTCGCCTGAAGCCTCGTCCAAACCTATGAGCTCTACCCATGCGCCACCTTTGCCACCCCGTGGCAACTTCGTGGCCCCACGACCTTGATCGCCGTTGGCGAAGGCTGTCAGAGCGACAGCGATGTCGACAAGGGAATTCTCAACGATGTCAATGACATCATCTGTGCCATCATCGATGATTGTCTGTCTCCAATTTACGTTCAAGCTGTTTTCCTCGACATTCAGTTACTGGCTGATTTTGTACATGCGATAAGACTGCGCATGGCACACGCGTAGCAGCTGGATACGTAGCGCATCAGAATCGCGTACGAAAGTGGAGCTTTCTTCCCTTAAAGGGCAACTCCGGTCCATACTTTCGATTTTGGGATTATGACTGTTTTTAGTGCAGTCAGCGTCCCTGAATTGCAAGGTGTAATTTTTTTCCCGTCATTGTGCGTAGTTTTAGAGATATCGACGCCTCAAAGTTTTGTTTGGGGTGAGGCCAACAAAACCGAAACTAGCCGCTCGAGGCCCCGGCAACACCAGAAATCAGCCACTATATGAATCTGACGTCAGGATCGTTCTCGTTCAACGAGTATGCAGGCCAAGCGGCACCTGCCTCTGTTGCGCTAGCCGTCTAAAGATAGGAGGTAAGCTGATTTTGTTTTAATTCTGTATGCGTGGTAGTTATCCAGCATATGTAGCAAGAGTTAGTGCGTATACCCAAATGCTAATGACTGGAAAACCCGTCAATTCGTATGGTGCCGTACTCGGCGGCCGCCGCCGTGCGTGCGCTATGTTGTACTCGTCGCTTGTATACCCCAGAAGCTAGCGATTGGAAAACGAGTGAACTCGTTCGGTGCCGTACTCGGCGGCTGTCGCCGTGTGTGCGGTCTTCCGTATTCGTCGCTAGGTCTAAATTGTCATCGGGGCTCCGTGGATGGAGCAGCGTTGCTCTGCGCCGCGCTGCCAGTGACGTAGAGTACTAGGGTCCCACTTGCTTTCGCGCTGAGGGTCGGTTCCAGACACGAAGCTTTGAGGTTCTCCGGCGCGGGCTGCGGCGCCCGAACACACGTGTGCTGGGCTGTACACGTCTGTTTTTTCGTTCTTTTTTCCTCGGACGCGTAAAAGCCGAAGTCCAAAGCCCACTCGTCGAACAGCGCTCACCCATACCTTCTTCAATTTCCGGTTCGTTGGAAACTTGTGAAAAAGCACCTCCGGTTTGCGCAGCGGGTTGTTTGAGCAACCCACAGCGCTACAAGTTCCACTCGGCATCTTTCGAGGAACAGCTGCAGTAGTCTTGGGCGCACCGAGTTGCTCGCTAGAACAAGTCTTAGAGTCCTCACAAGCAAATAAACAAAAGGCTATACTAAAGCTACGCGGGCTACAGATAAAAGCAACGTCTAAACACGCCAATCACAAGCAGAAGTAGGGGTAGTAGCGGCTCAAAGAAGCGCACTCTGCGCAACGCCCGGACTGGAGGAAAAAACGAGAATGATACTGGCGTCACGGCCCAATGTTGCTTTAGCAATCGGCAACCCGCTGGCCGCCCGCTAAGGAGCAGCGGCTCGCGGCGGGTCGCATTTTTATTATCGGCATTAGTTGAGAATGCGGCGTCTCACGGACGTAATATTTTGGCTGGGGTCCTATTTTGTGTCACTACAGCGATACCACTAATTTATTTCATTTTTAGTTTTGGCCGGAGTTGCCCTTAAGGGGGGACACTGGCTCGAGGTCAAACTTTTGAACTACTCAATTGATCGGAATCAAATTTGCAGGGGAGATATTAAACTTCAGACGTAGGTGTAGTGTGCAAACTTTCAGCCCTCTAGGACAAATTTACATACCTATATAAGTTGATGTGTCACTCTTCGTTAAGAAATCTATGATATGCAAATGAAGCTATTAAGCACCGTTTTGACTGCTTGAACATAAAGTGAGGGATATGGGACTTCGGGCTATCTAGTTCTAATAACTTAAATGTAAATATTTCAGGAAGAGTTATTACCTCAAAATATGAGATGCCTATCTGTCCTATGTCAATTTTTGAAAACCTAGTTTTTTTATCACTGAGGACTTCATCTTAAAACAAAATAAAGTAGATAGCCCGATTCCCTAGTAAATTTCAGTGCAGAAACATGTTGACTGTGGTATCAAAATACTTACACCTTCGAACAAAAGATTCCTTCGTATGAAATTTGCAGCAAAAAGTGGAACTGAGAAAAATGCATCCAAACATTGAACTCCTTTACTTTGTTAGTGCTTCACAATGTCTTGAAAATGTTTTATATCAACATAACTATTAGGCATATGGTTATCAAATTTAGTGTAAGGGTATATAATTGATTTCTAAAACCGAAAACCCCAATATTGAAAAATGAATTTTTTCAAAAAAATTCGGAATTTAGGCCCATGTCCCCCCTTAAAAGGGGCCCTGCAAGCACTTTTCTACTGGTTTTCTATTTGCACCGAACCTGAGCGCACTGACCGTAGTAACTTAATAAAACTTTTCTTTTCTCAAATTTCGCTTTAGTTTAAAAGTTGTAGGCAAATTAAAATTACAAAAACAAGCAAAAAATAACCTCCCTCATGGCGTCCTTGGTTGCTTGAGCGGCCGTGAACTAGTTGAGGGATAGTGAGCTCAGCGAGCGCAAACGGCTGCCGCAATCCGTGTCGACGGCGCGAGAGGGCGGCACTAAAGCGTGTTCTGGATAGGCTGTATAAAGCGGGCAGCGAGAGCGGCTCTCATTGCATTTGCTGCGCGATTAAACACTACTTCGGCATGACACTTCATTGGCCACAAACGACAGCAAACACGGTGTGAAGGTCAGTTCAGAATGGGAGTCATTTCACGCTGCCGTACCGTGAAAGGGCCAAAACGCAAGACAAAGCTGCTCGCCGAAGGCCTTCGGAACGCTCGGAGCCGGTCGGATCCTCCAGTCCGTAAACGACCGCAGCGTCGCCGCGTACATCCGGGACCTTTCGGTGTCGGTGCCTGATCCCACTACTCTTTTCTAGTATGCGCCGCCTTTTCCATCGCTTGGTGGCGCGTATGTCAACGGGTCATTTCTTGTTTCCGTACTTCATAAAGTGCATTTGTTTCTTTTCTTATCTAAAATACTGAACAAAAACTACTTTTATAAATAATTGAAACGGTTCGCGCCACTTATATTTTGTGTTTCAACTAAAAAGAAGCTTTTAGCGGCTCTGACCAGTAGTAAGCCCAGGACCAAAGACGTCACATTTCGCGCGCTTTCGGTACCGCGGGTCGCCCCCGTCGGTGGAGATTTCCGCGTCGTCCGGTTAAAATATGATGCACAGATATTTAGTTACTTTCTCTGAGCCCGCTGGTTTGCCCGAACCCCAAGAGACGTGGAAACCGCAAAAAAAGCAGACGCTTAAATATGTTTGCAGGGCCCCTTTAAATGCACAATCTGTCAATTGCTTGTTCACATAAAAAAAAGATACTACATAAAGAAAATGTTTATTTTACAGCTGATATTGTATGATGTGATCAGTATGTTCCATCGCTGAGAAACTTGCTCCATCGCACGGCGTGGATGTATTACTTCGGGCACTTTTCGAGGCCAGTCCAGACACAATAATCGGTTATAACGATATAATTTTCAGGTTTTCTCATTAAAGTTATAAGTGGGTTGCACTGCATTAAAAAATTGTAGAAATTTCTAGAGGACTGCTGCCATGTACTTCGAGTTACAAAAGCATTAAGGACACGCCTAGAGAGCACAAAACACAGACCAGGGCCAACTTGTTGTAGAGTCGAGGCCAGAAGGGAAGGGCACCTTTCACAAGTTCTGTGTCTTTTTCTTTCACCAAGTCCAAGAGTTCCTGCAGAGCCTGAAATGCAAAAATAAGGATGTGCGAACCGTTGAAAAAAATCTAGGCAATAAACCTTTCAAATAGTGTGGAACTTCAATTAGAGCGAGAGAGGGTGTTGTTCTCCGTTCATCTATCTTCCCATCCACCGACAAAGCTCTTTTGCTCCTTGTATTCTAAAAAGTATCTTCACAGCATGTCTAAGATTTTTTTTCTCAACAACGCCCATTCAAGAGATGCACACTACTGCAACCCGACCCAGAAAGAGCTTTTAGAATATAAAAATGTTGCATCTCAAGAACAATGAAGACATAACAAGGCGGTAATTTTTATTGTGCTAAAGAATCTGAGATTAGCAGAGGTCGGCATTTTAGGTCGCCCTCACTCACCCCACTCTCGCAGCAACACTCACCTAAACCCCTTACTCACCCTCACCCTCACGGCTACACTCACCTTCAGCCCCTCACTCACCCTCACGCCCCTCACACACTCATGGCCCTCACGCCCCTCATGCACTCACGCCCTCATGGCCTTCACGCCACCCACCGCACTCACGACCCTCACTCACTCATGGCCTTCACGCACTCATAGCCCTCACGACACTCACCGCCCTCACTGCCCTCGCTGCCCTGACGCACTCATGGCCCTCACGCCACTCGCACACTCACGGCCCTCATGCCCTCATGGCCTTCACGCCACCCACCACCCTCAAGACCCTCACTCACTCATGGCCCTCACGCCACTCACCGCCCTCGCCACCCTCACACACTCATGGCCCTCACGCCCTCATGGCCTTCATGCCACCCACCACCCTCACGACCCTCACTCACTCATGGCCCTCACGCCACTCACCGCCCTCACCGCCCTCACACACTCATGGCCTTCACGCCACTCACCGCCCTCGCGGCCATCACACCCCTCACGCACTTGTGGCCCTCGCGCCACTCAGGCCAACTTCAGATGGGGCAATTTCGCCCACAAACTTGACGTCACAACACCAGCAACACGGGCCGCCCGCGATCACACGCAGCAACCAATTGCTGCAATTTGCCATCATCATAATGAAATTTTATTTTTCTTGCACTATTTAGACACAATTACGCATTATAAACGTGTTTTTATGCGTTTCTATCTCGTTGAGAATACTAATGTACCTTTCTGAAACAGTTTATTTCCAAAAACGATTGATTTCAAACCAGAACCAAGCCTTTCGGTGTCATCATCTCCGGCACGAGGTATCACGTGAAACTTTTGCGTCCCTGATTGGATGCAGCCGCTTCAAACGTCTTCGAATTGCTCTGAGTTGCTTGATTATTTCGAGCCAGACACCATCTCAGCAATTCGTGTCGATCTAGGGAAAGCTAGAGAACAACCCGCCATCAACACCAAAATTGCTGAGAAAGATGCTCCGTCTGAAGGGGGCCTCACGCACTCACTGCCCTCACGCACTCATGGCCCTCACACCCCTCATGCACCCACCGCCCTCACGGCCCTCACGCCTCTCATGCCACTCACTGCCCTCACGCACTCATGGCCCTCATACCCCTCACGGCCCTCACACCACTCACTGCCCTCATGCGCTCATGGCCCCCATACCTCTCACCGCCCTCACGGCCCTCGCCGCCCTCACACCCCTCATGCACTCATGGCCCTCACGCCACTCACCGCCCTCACACACTCATGGCCCTCATACCCCTCACCGTCCTCACGGCCTTCACCGCCCTCAATCACCCTGATACTCATGAGTTTTCCTGGTTCAGAAACCCGCTCACCCTCACCTCACCTGTGAAGATGAGCGTGAGTGAGGGCCCTCATGAGTGAGGTTTGCCGAGGTATGGAGATTAGCGGAATAAAAAAGAGGAACATTACAGCGACTCTAAGAGAAGATTCGCACCTAGTGTCCTTCTTTGCATTTACACTATCTCACATATTGTATGTGACACAATTTCCATTTTACCCGGAGTCCCTTAGTGGTGTTTCATGTCTTATAACAACCTTTCAAGACTTTAAAGTAACACCTTGGACAGAAGTACACTACTCAGAGCTTGAACAAACAACATAAAGACAACCACATTCAAGATGAAAGTTGTTTGCTAAATACTTGCTGTTCCAAAATATTCTTTAAGAAGAGAACCTTATCACCAAAAAATTCACATCAACAAGTGTCAGTACTTCATTCCCCCTTAGGATGGACCACGGAGGATGCAATGAGCCGTCAAAGCCAATTTCCCACTGTGGGAGCGTCACATGACCTTCGGGAGGGACACAACAAAGTGCATGACGTAGTCACGCAATATATTCACACAACTGGGCTCACTGGAGAGACTCGTAGTGTATGCCGTGGTCCCTCGTAAGGTGAAACAGAGTATAGGAGTATAGTTAAAGGGGCACTGACACCCCATAGGTCGTATTATTTTTTATCGTCTAAAACGATGCAAGTTATAATCATAGACAAGCAAAAAAAAAAAAAAAAAAATGCATCGCAAAAAAAAAAATTTCTTACGCGCGCGTGCGCGCCTTTTTATTTTTGTTGTTTATATTTCCCGCACTCACCTCCTTGCTTCTTCTGAACGGTGACGTCAAAAATCAGGAAATTTAGAAGCTTTGTAGGCGACATTTCTATAACATTTAATAACGGCAATCGTAAAACATGTTTTTTAACACAACTGCGAACGCACTACGGCCCCTCTTTTTGAAATACCAAAAATCAGATTTCGGTGTGATGTCGCTTCCTGGATTTGTATCCTCCTTCGGAAAACTTGGCGGCGCTCGAGCAGAGGCTTATCGGCGAGTCGGGGAAAAAACCATTTTTTTTTCCCGTGCCGGCACCCTTCTATCCCGCCTGGTCACCTCCTCCTCGCTTGGGGTGGCGGTGTGTCATGATTTATAAGACAAGGAAAAAGAAAAGGAACGAAGGAGAGATTTGTGGCAGCATGAAAAAAAGAAGAAGAATAAGGAGGCGCGAGAGGGGTTCGAAGCAATCCGACGAGGCGCGAGATTTGACGGCTGTCTTCTGGGGTTGCGGAGCTCGGGTCGGCTATGTCCCGTCCTCGAAATCGACTCCGCCAGGCTTGAACCGGTCGGCTACGTTCCGTCCTCGCAAACGACTCCGCCAAGCTTGGATCACCGCGCTCGGCATCGTCATCTTGGTCCGAAGGGCACCAGCGGGCCGGACATCATTCTCCGACGATCCGCCCGACGACGATCCACCCGCCACATCCCATGGTGACTATACAGGGTGATGACTATTTGTGTTGACAGTATATATCTTTACTTTTGAATGCAATATTTATTTAATTTATCCGACGCTGATCGTATTCCAGTTTTTTCTTTTTTCCTTTTTTTTTTCTTCTTCTTACAGTAAAGTATGTTTGAGTTCTCCCGCTGGCTCTGGCTTCCATGATTCTCCCTCACCTTCCCGAACGAACCTGACAAATTGGCGAGCCTGCCAGGATACGTCTAGGCCCATTAAATCCTAGTTGCGTTTTTCCGGGAAGTGAGAGAGTTGAGGGGAAGCTCAGTCCGTTGTGTTAATATGGAGCTAGAACGAATAATCGCGTTGGGTAAGGAATTGGGGTATGCTGGGGACGAGCTAAAGAAATGGGTAGCTGAAGAAAGAGTTCGAGCGGATGAAGAGAAAGCGCGCGTGAGAGCCGAGAGAGCTGAGGAACGTGATAACGTAAGGGAAGACCGGGAAGCAGCCGAAAGAGCGTTAGCTGCAGAGTGCGCTAAATTAGAAAAGGAAAGGGAGATTCTGCAGCTGAAAATCGCTGCACGTGAGATTAGTCATGAAAGTGCAGGAACTGTGGGAGACGAGCGCGGGGAAGCGCCAGGCTTAGTAATTCGAGGGAGTCCCCACAAGTTAATCCCGCAGTTCGACGAACGGAGGGATGATCTAGACTCGTATCTACTGCGCTTCGAGCGTACAGCAACAGGGTTGAGCTGGCCTTTGGAGAAATGGGCCACCACACTAAGCTTATGCTTGACCGGGGAGGCACTGTCTGTGGTTGGCCGGATGGCACCGGCGGATGCGTTGGATTACAAAAAGGTCAAGCTAGCGCTCTTCCAAAGATTTAGGTATACTAAGGAGGGGTACCGCGAGCGGTTTCGCAACGCCGAACCCGAGAAGGGCGAAACGCGCAGACAATTCGCTGCCCGATTGGCCGGATTTTTTGACCGATGGCTCGAGATAGCTGGAGTTGAGAAGACTTTCGAGGCATTACGAGACCAGGTCCTGGTGGAACAGTTCATGTTGACCTGCTCCAGCAAACTGGCCGTCTTTCTTAGAGAGCGTGATTCTCAGACTTTGGAAGACGTAGCAGCAAAGGCAGACCTGTTCCTAGAAGCCCAGACACCATCCAGCTCGATTAGGCAAAAGTCAGACGAGGTGACAACCAGGCAAGGTGCTGGAAACGGAGACACTCACGCAAGGGGAGAAACGCGAAGAGCTATCCGCTGCTTCATTTGTGGGAAGGCTGGACATAAGGCCGAAAATTGCAGAGGCAACGCGCAAGGCAAGAAAACAGTGGCGTGTTGGAATTGTGGCCGCGCTGGTCATAGGGCGGAAAACTGCAGGGGAAGGCAGAACGAGAAGCAGCAAGCCTCGTGCTTATGGACTGCGTCAACAGGGGCTGTCGACGTGCCTGACGACTCCTACGTAACACTGGATAATGGTGACAAAATCCCGGTAGTAAACGCGGCCATGGGAACACCTCCAAAGTTCTTAGTAGAGAACATGCCGGTCGTGGAAGGCCGTCTCGGGGAGCACAAGATAACGGTATTAAGGGATACCGGGTGTAACACCGTCGTGGTCCGTAAGGAGTTGGTTCCCCGACAGAGCCTAACAGGAAAGTCAAGTCCGGTGTTTCTGCTAGACCGCACGGTTCGATATCTGCCCGAGGCGGATATAGTTGTACGAACACCCTACTATACAGGGAAGGTGACGGCAAAATGTGTAAGTAATCCTCTCTATGATCTGGTACTCGGGAATATACCCCAAATGCGGGAGGCCAATGATCCAAACCCAGACTGGGAAATTAAAAACGAAGAGGGTCAAGGTCAAGTCTTGGCCAAGCCAACGTCGAAGCCGGAAGCACTTCCGAACGCCGTTGAAGTCAGCTTCAATAGTCGCATGACACCGAGATTGTCTAAATGTACTGACGAGCTCCGGAAAGACAAACCAGCAGAAGTTGCGTCCGCGAGGGCGAAGGGAGCAGATGGTCAAATGGAAAGACCAGACCGACCTTTGAAGGTATCGCAGGCGGCAGTGATCGATGCGACAACCGAGGAGCTCGCCATGGAGCAAAAGGGGGATAAAACTCTCATGAAGTGTTTTGGTAAGATAGGGGAAACTACCAGAAAACACAAGGGCAGGACGAAGTTCCAGTTTTTTCTCAAGAATGGTTTGCTACATAGGGCCGTTGAATATTCATCCGGCAGAAGGATAGAGCAACTTGTACTCCCGAGAAGGTTCAGGAGCGCCGTCGTGGCTCTAGCACATGACAGCATAATGTCAGGACACCAGGGCATGAAGAACACGCTCAACCTGGTGTCGGAAGAATTTTTTTGGCCTTGTATGCAGAGCGAGGTCAAGAGATACGTTCAGTCGTGCGATGTGTGTCAACGCACAGTACCCAAGGGCAAGCAGGGCAAGGCACCCTTAGGAAGCATGCCGACTATCGAGACGCCCTTTCAGAAAGTCGCGATAGACATAATTGGCCCCATTGTACCAATCGCGACCTCGGGAAACAGGTACATACTGACAATGGTGGATATGGCTACGAGATACCCGGATGCGGTAGCGTTGAAGAGCATTGGATCCCAGCAGGTGGCCGAAGCACTGGTGGAGATGTTCACGAGGTACGGTGTGCCACAAGAGATCCTTAGCGACCGCGGGACCAGCTTTACCTCAGAACTAATGAGGGAGGTGAGTCGACTTCTATCAATGAAGCACCTCCTGACCACCCCGTACCATCCCATGAGCAACGGCTCGGTGGAGAGATTCGACGGCACAATCAAGCAAATGCTAAGAAGGATGTGCCAGGAGAGGCCCAAGGACTGGGACCGATACCTTCCAGCTCTACTGTTTGCCTACAGAGAGGTTCCACAGTCGAGCCTCAGGTTTTCGCCTTTCGAGTTACTCTACGGGAGAAGAGTGCGAGGACCTTTGGCTATTCTGAGAGAGATGTGGTCAAACGAAGCTCTCAAGCAAGATCTGAAGACTTCGTACGGATACGTGCTGGAGCTAAGAGAAAAGCTGGAGGACACGTGCAAGTTAGCACACACTTGCCTGGAAGAAGCGAGGGCAAAATACAAAGGCTACTACGACAGAAAGAGCTCTAACCGAAGGATGCAACCGGGAGATCAAGCACTCATTCTTCTCCCCACCGATCATAACAAAATGATCATGCAGTGGAAAGGACCGTTTCCTGTAACAGCAAGAAGGAATGAAGTGGACTACGAGCTAGAGGTGGGAGGCAAGAAGAAGCTATTCCATATCAACATGCTCAAGAAATATGAAGAAAGGAAAGAAACCTCACAACATCCACCACTTTGCAATGCGGTGGTGAATAAACAAGAAACTGACGAAAACGAGTCTGATGCCGAAGAATGCGACATCCCGATGCCAATCTGGACCAGACAGCAAGGGTGTGAGGATGTGGTCATTAATAAGAACCTAGAGAGCGAGAAGATAGCCCAAGTGCAAGAATTACTAAGAAAATTCGAAAACATATTTTCTGATGTCCCCGGGAGGACAAATCTTATGACGTGTGATCTTCATCTCACAACAACGCGGCCGATATTCGTGAGGCAGTACCCGATACCTCTGGCAGTACAAGATGTGGTCGAGGATGAAATCAGCAAGATGCTCGAGCTGGGGGTAATCGAGAAGTGCACATCGTCGTACAACGCTCCGGTCGTGATTGTGAAGAAAAAGGATGGATCAAACAGATTTTGTGTCGACTACAGACGATTGAATGACGCGACAATGACAAATGTAGAGCCAATACCCAGAATTGATGTGACATTTGCTAAAGCGGGACAGAGGAGGTTTTTCTCGAAATTAGATGTAGCTAAGGGCTACTGGCAAATTCCCATGGAAGCAGACGCAAAAGAGAAGACGGCGTTTTCGTCAACAAGCGGGCACTACCAGTTCAGATATATGCCCTTTGGCCTCAAGACCGCCTCTGCTACTTTTACCAAGTTAATGCGAGAGGTTCTAGACGGTATTCAAGATGCATATCACTACATAGATGATATCTTGATCGCGACGAGCTCGTGGGAGAAGCATGTGGAAACACTCAGGACGATTTTTGAGCGTCTTTGCGAAGCCAACATTACGATCAAACCAAATAAATGCCATATAGGGTTCAGCGAAATCAACTTCTTAGGACATAAAATTGGACTGGGGAATATCGCTCCTGACCCAAAGATCCTGGAAAGGATTCAAGACGCACCAAGACCCAAAACGAAGCGCCAAGTTCGGTCATTCCTCGGGCTTACGGGATTCTATAGACAGTTTGTACCAAACTACGCAGATATCGCAGCGCCGTTAGTGGATCTAACGAAAAAGGGAGCCCGCAATGATATTGAGTGGAGCCCAAGAGAAGAGGAGGCCTTCACGGAGTTGAAAAGTCGACTTGGACAACCTCCCATCCTGCTATCACTGGACCCCGAAAAGGAATTCGTGCTGCGCACGGACGCCTCTGAAGCAAGCTTAGGAGCAGTTTTACTACAGGAGAGAGATGGAATACTTCACCCGGTTGCATACGCGAGTCGTAAACTCAGTAGCTCCGAAAGGAACCTTGCTACTGTAGAGAAGGAATGTCTTGCACTGGTCTGGGCAGTCACTAGGTTTAAGCTGTTTCTTTATGGAAAAGCCTTCCGCGTTCAGACTGATCACCAGCCGCTAGAGTTCCTCAACAAGGCGAAACACACTAACAGCCGAGTAATGAGGTGGAGCATGGCTCTACAAGACCACACGTTCAGTGTAGAATACATAAAAGGTAGAGACAACGTTGGAGCGGACTATTTAAGTCGCGTTTAGGCTTTATTTATTTGTTCTTGCTTTATAGGTGGCAACTAATTGATAAAAATCAAGTGTATCGAATGTCCTATGTGTATTTTTTATATTTTTTATGCTTGTTTATTTTTTTTTTTATGAAGGGCGTTCCTTTTGTGTGCGCGCGTGCGTGTGTGTAACGGTACCGTGCAGTCGCGTCGGTGTGGTTGTGCATGGTGCATCAACCAAACAAATGTGACTCCTGCAAGAGTTCAGCGTGGCCAAGTTGACGATGAAGACGAGGTGCGGAACTGCTGGATTACATGCCTCAATTTTGGGTCGACGATGACGGAAGGACTCCCTGGGCAGAAGATAAGGTGAAGAAAGAAGTTTCTGCGAATAAACTTCTCGTAGTTCGGGGGTATTGTCATGATTTATAAGACAAGGAAAAAGAAAAGGAACGAAGGAGAGATTTGTGGCAGCATGAAAAAAAGAAGAAGAATAAGGAGGCGCGAGAGGGGTTCGAAGCAATCCGACGAGGCGCGAGATTTGACGGCTGTCTTCTGGGGTTGCGGAGCTCGGGTCGGCTATGTCCCGTCCTCGAAATCGACTCCGCCAGGCTTGAACCGGTCGGCTACGTTCCGTCCTCGCAAACGACTCCGCCAAGCTTGGATCACCGCGCTCGGCATCGTCATTTTGGTCCGAAGGGCACCAGCGGGCCGGACATCATTCTCCGACGATCCGCCCGACGACGATCCACCCGCCACATCCCATGGTGACTATACAGGGTGATGACTATTTGTGTTGACAGTATATATCTTTACTTTTGAATGCAATATTTATTTCATTTATCCGACGCTGATCGTATTCCAGTTTTTTCTTTTTTCCTTTTTTTTTTCTTCTTCTTACAGTAAAGTATGTTTGAGTTCTCCCGCTGGCTCTGGCTTCCATGATTCTCCCTCACCTTCCCGAACGAACCTGACACGGTGGCAATGGCGGAGGTCCGAAAGAAAGTCGAGTCGCAGGAGACCGCAAAATTTTACTCACTGCACTAGCACGGATTGCACGGGAACTTCAAATTCTGCATTTTTGAAATTGTTTTTTTAATTCAGAAATACTGAATTCCCAAGTTTCGAATTTTGAGGGTAATGTCCTGGCATTGTTTTCTATTGTTTTGGATAATGAAAAAAAAAAAGATTTTGATGTGCCAGTGCCCCTTTAAGTCCTCCTGTTCAGAACGACTTTCAATGTTTTGGTGCACGCCACGTCAAGATGACAGGCAAGCTTCTCACTCACCTTGAGCCGTGTAGTCTGGTCTCGTTTGGTGAGTTTGCGCATCACAATGCGGAAGTCACTGTCTACGGTGGCATCCACGTCATCCACCACGTGCTGTCCAGTCGGGGGTATGTACGCCGGACAGTCTCCGCTCAGGGCACCAAACCCCACAAATCCAGACAGTCCTGCAGCTCCACTGGCAGAGAGAAGCTGGGCACTTCTGCCGCTGCTCGAAGGCTACAGAGCACGAAGTGTTGTATCAAAAGAGCACAGTGTACACATTACATCTGATGTGGCTGGTGTGCCATTCTCAAAACTCGTTCGCACATTTTCCTCTAAGATTTGTCCGAGTGCATTACATTCCCTTGTAACCGCTCAAGACGAGAAAAGACAAATTTTTATAATTTTTTATACATCATTTCTTAACAATGTGTGAACCAGTCTTCACACATCTCATAAATAGACAAAAAAAAAGGTCTGGTTTTTTAGGGCTGCTTATCCCCAGAAAGTTTGTACAAGTATTGACTGGGTAGGTGACATATCAAGTGAGCCTCTTTTTTCATTTATCTCAGCTACCTACTAGATCTGGTCCCATATTTTACTGCCAAATTCATTTAAAACATGCAGAATTTAGTTGGTGGAGGAAAGCATGGTTCCTTCAACCATGCCCTGCGTACCCCGCTGCATGTGCACTCCAAAGCATACAAAGGTTACAGATTTTTCTGTGTTTATATCCGGGTAGAACCTGCAGATGGTTTGCTGCAGTTATTTTAGTTGTAAAGATTGGTGTATTTCCATCTCTGATTTACTTAATGAGGGTGCTACAAACAGTGATTATCGGCAGTAATTATCTGCTTAAAGATATGCAGGTAACGTTAAACGAGGATATTGAAACATTCAATTAGCAAGGCAAAGAGCACTCGTCACACTTCCGTATTCTTTCCTTGTAGCACTTGGCTCGGAAAAGCAGCTGTCTCATTGTCAAAAACAAAAGGAAAAAAAAAAAAGATGCAAGTTCTTGATTCCACCTACTTCTTGATGTTTATAAGATCAAGACATATCCATCTAGCCATGACACGCAGTTTGTCTTCATTCAACTAGCTCCTTATTTAAACAAGGAAGAATAAAATCTAATTACAATGTTGTCCTATCGGTTGTCTTGCTCTCTTTAGCACCTTGGAACACAATTACGTAACATAAACAGAAAACAAAGTGATATCAGCAGACTGGAAAAAAGTCGAGAAAATAAGTATAGGGTGTCTGAAGTCAACAGGCTCGATCTAAAATGGGCTGTAAAAATTGATGCCTGCACGAAAAAATCTAAACTTTCCATCAAAGGTGTATTTCATAGGTTTGTTTTTTCTTGTAAAATTACAAAGCGTAGCTCCCTTTCCACAAAAAAAATGGGGCCAAAAAACTTGCCAGGGTCAACGGTGGGCGGCGACGCAGACGACCGAGTTGAGCGGCAGGGCGCATGGGGACGTCTGGCGTACATATTGATAGATAGCACTACCTCCTTATCGAGACTGCTCACGACAACCGTGATTTACTAAAAGTAAGATAATCTTTTTGCAGTGTAACTTTAATTTAAAAATAAAAGTGGACAATAAAAACAAAACTTGAAGTTCAACAAAAAAAAAAAATGGTTGCATAACGGCATTTTTGCTGCCAACGGATTTCGTCTGCGTTTCGTCTGCTTTCTTTCGCTGGTCGGCTTTGTCAGTTACAGGTTAAGGAAAGTATTCGAGGGAGAGGAGGGCTGGGGAGGAGGAAGCAAACGGAATGCTTGAGAGAAAAGAAGGCTTCCTTCTCTTTCAGCCTCCCTTTCCCTCGAAAGCTTTTCTTAGCCTGAAACTGACTACACATCTTCCGACGCCGCTTCGACGCCATCTATCAATATGTGCGCCAAACATGCCCCGCCCCGCCACTCAACTCAGTCGTCTGCGTTGTTGCCCACCATTGACGGGCAACGATAACAAGACGTTACACCAGGTGACTGCGGAGCTATGTCTAAGCCCTGGATGCAAGTGCCTTGGGAGTGGCAGCCGTCTACCAACACTGGGCCACCTCCTGGACCTCACTGCCTTCACTAAAGTGAGTGGTGACACCACCAAACCACCAGGGATTTTCCATCTGAGACGTTCATTGATCAGCCTGTGGGAAATCATTTCAGCTCTCGCTGGCAGACTCGATTGAACCTTTCCCGAACCTTCGAGCAACTGTGCTTGCGATGTTGAGAAGACCACGTCATCCTCCTTTTATACATATCATCTCATAATCACCATCGTTAAGACATGGCACCACGGGCCTCCACGGTACGGGTTGTCGCCTTTCCGCAGTGCCACGGCTTTCCTGAGCCAATAAAGATTAATATTATTGTTATTATTATTGACCCTGGCAAGTTTTTTGGCCCTATTTTTGACAGAAAGGGAGCTATGCTTTGTAATTTTACAAGAAAAAGACGGACCTGTAAAATACACCTTTGACGAAAAGTTAAGATTGCTTCATGCAGGCGTAGATTTTTACGGTCCTTTTTGGATTGAGCCTGGTGACTTCGGACGCCCTATATTTAATAAAGATGCCGCTGCATTGGAACTATTATTTGTTTCCAATCCAGACAAATTTACATTATCATTATTCACAACAACCCTGGGAATGATCGAGATTTGGAAATATCCTTCACGTGTAGGAGTATAAACAGAAGTAGTAGGCGAGGTAAAATTAGACATTACAAACATCATGTCGTATTACACCTGAGACTGCGGTGGAAGAAATCGGAAGAACTTTCAGTAGAAGGAACAGACACAGAGAACGTCTCAAACTCAGCTAACTGGTTTATTTCTCAAACAGCCTTTAAGTACCCTCGGAACTTTTTCCCAACCACACTCTACACATAAACTCCTTTGTTGCAGACATTTCGAACCGGATGGATACAAAAGATACAAAACAACCCACACATGAGACGAGGACTTAACAAAGGGACACTGCGGATCATCGCAGTGACCTTGAGAGAGATATGTCCCGAATCATCCTAACAGTCGCGTCAAAACGCACACACAATAAAAAAAAAAAAAAAAAAAAACCACACACAGGCGGCCCCTAAATTGTGGCGACACACCCAGACATAAAAAGACCACAAAGAGAACGCCTTTTTTTTCCCCTTTTCTTTTCCTTGGGAAAACACACCCAAGTGATCTCAAAACCGCAATCACAAACACATAAAAAAAAAAAAAAATTTTAGATGTATATACACATATACATTGTCTCTCCCCCCCCCCCTTTTCTCGTAAACCGAATGCGTTCGTTCAAAGTCTGAGAAACTTTTTGGAGTTGCGTCCAAGTTGCATCGATGCTTGGCTTATGCAGTTTCCAATAGAAGTTATTCTTATTGTTTCTTTAACGATGCTCTTAATGTCATTTCGCTCTTTATGCAGAACTTCTGTCTCTGACCAAAGCGCATTACAATTATTGCATTCCTCTATGTGTTTTGCTATTTCGGAGTTCGGCGCATGCATGCGTACATTTCTCTTGTGTTCTAGTAACCTGTCATTGAGGCATCTTGAAGTTTGTCCCACATACCTAAATCCAAATGTCAACGGAATCTCATATACTACACTCTCTTTGCAAGGAACTAAAGGTTCCCGATGGGCCTTCTGACAACCCTTGTGGTCCGACAGAAAGGGCGTCAACCTGCTCATTTTTAAATCTGGAGAAAACACTACGTCCACGCCGAACTTTTTTGCGAGAGCCTTTAGGTTGTGGGAAATCCCGTGGAAATACGGGATTACTGCTATCTTCTTTCTTGCTTCCTTTTCCCGTGGTTCGTTGTTAAATTTCAGTTCTAATTGTCTTTTAATGAATTCTTCTTTATAACCTGCAGATTCTAGCCTCCTCCACTGTTCTTTCACAGCACTACTCATAAAATGAGCGCATGATTTACCCAACGCAATTGTTACTAAGGACTTAACTACCCCTGCTTTAACCGACTTGGCGTGACAACTCTCTACTTAACACAGGTTTTTCGGCTTTCTTCCCGTATTCCAACAAAGACCTTGTTCGACATGTACGCGTAAATCTAGAAACTGCAGGATCCCATTTTCAGGTTTTTCAGTTGTAAACCTAAGCTCCGGAGCTGCTGCTTTTATAATCGATTCTAAACCCTGAGCATCATTCTCTCGAAAAGCGCAAATAAAAATATCATCCACGTACCTTTTAACAATGCAACCATTCAAGTTATTCTCTTTAAGTGTTTCACTTAAGCAACTATCTAAGGTGTTAAGATAGATTTCTGCTAACATCGGAGCCACCGAAGATCCAATGCATACACCATCTCTTTGAACATATTTCTGCCCATTATATTCAACTGTTGCTTGAAGGTACAAATCAAGAAGTGAAAGGAAACTGTCGACGGCGATGCCCGTCCTGGACTGAAAGTTTACCAGGTTTAACTCTAGCACCTGCCGAACTCTTTGCATCAAGCGCACTTTCTCAAGCGAATAGTATAGATCCTTAATGTCCATTGACATTACAGTGCATTGTCTTCCATGAAAGCCCTCTAGAACATCAATTAGTGCCTCTGAATTTCTCAGTGAAGGACTCCCCTCCAGTTGAATTACATTCAACCTTCTTTGCAAAAATTTCGAGACGCTACACTGCCACGTTCCGAGTTCGTTGATTACTGTGCGAAAAGGCATATCCGGTGTGTGATCTTTCAAAAAAAAATTTTAGACTTAACGAAGACCTTGTTTGGTTAACTACTTGTTTTGCCAAATTATCCATCTCATCTTCCTTGAAGATTTCAACAATATTCTTCTTAATTTTCTTAATGTTCCCTTTCCATTCAATGAAGAGTGCGCTGAGGGCTTCGTCTGAGGGCTTCGTTACAAACATATTTTAAGAACTTCTATGCAGTGTATACATTGACGGCCACATTGATGAATGTGGATTAACGACCTCTAGAAAATTGATTAACGAAATCTAGAAAACAAAACTTCTCAACCTGTCAAGGCCACAAGTACCCATTGAGTATTACACAGGTTCAGAATCTATGTGTCACGTCCTGGAACGACTGGAAACATTCACAAAATGCAATCCCCAGCACATTAACATGTGTCAGATGATGGAGCTGTAACACACTGTTTTGTGTTGGCACACTGCGTCGGGTGGAAGTATGCAACACCGATCAACTTACCCGAGCATTGCCTTTTGTGCGTTGCCCCTTCTTGTTGCCGCCCATGCTGAAGTTCACTGAAAACTCGCTCGAAGTTTCTTGTATGGCCAAACCGAGTTTCTTTTCCAGACAGTGCGGGGTCTTTGATTTGAAATAACGAGGCGTAATTAAAACATATTTCTACACGCGCGGCAACCACCACGCATCACCCAGCCCACGACGAGCGCAAAAGAAATTTTGTACTTTTTTTTTTTTTTGATAATTAATGATGATGATCATCATTGCATGCTGTGCAAATTTGTGGAAGTACAGGAATATTCTAAAGGAAAAGTTACTAAATCCATGTGAAGAAACAAACGTTTAATGAGACACATCGTGGGCAAGCTCGTTGATCGTGGGAACTAGTGAATTGAAAAAATAAACCGCAACTGTATCCTAAGTCACTAGCGGCCAATCCAATCCGAAAAAGAGTCAATGGACGAAGTGGGTCGACAGTTTAGGCAGTTTAGGATCGTAAAACGTAAACATTGTAATGGAAAACACTGCAGAAAATGATACACCCGACGTTGTGAAGGGACTAACTGCTATTGATACTTCGCCCCAAGTTATGTATCCAACTCTTGACAGCCTTGCGACGAGCAAAGCCTTAAGAATTATGCCGATGAATGATCAAATAAAAGAGCTCCAGACGATAATACGTGACAAGTAAGTCCACCATGCCCATAATTCCGCCTCTTAGCATTGTCTAGATAAATGTATTATATAATTCATTGAATGTAGGCGAAATAAGCTTGACTGCACTATAAGTGACGTGGCGCGAATGTTGTATGCTGTTGTTGCAGGTTAGCATTAATGAAACCATGCTCGATTTTCGTTACAGAAACACTAGTCGGAGTGAATTCGTATTTTATGCCGATAGACTAGTAAGTATCATATCTACGATTCCCTTTTCGTCTCGCATAAACATGGAAGCTTTGCTATTTTGTCCTTACACAGTTGCGACGCTCCAATTTGCCTGGAGTGGAGAACATTCGCGAGTGTGTCACACCTCAATAGACTGAGCCATTGGCCTGTTTTTGTCGGCCAAGGTACGCGAGCGCGCCCGTAAGACGCGCGCATGTTATGCTGGCATCCAGTATAAAGCGCCACTGCAGCGTTTGATCGTGCTCGAGTGACGGTTGTTTTGCAAGCGTGCGTCAGCGTCTGTTCACGCACTGTGGAGAGGGTCAGAAGGACCTAAAAAGGATTACATAAACAAAGGTAAAATGCAGTTTGTGTTGTCCTAACAAGACAATAACAGTGCTTTTCTTTTAGCTCTTCTGTTGCTTTGTTTTTTTTCCCCAAAAATATTTATTTACCAATGAAATTCTGACAGCTTAGCTTCCGCCGAGTAACATAACAAAGCGCAATGAAGCGCATCCGAAACACGGCCGAGAAATATTGGACTTCGACTGTCAAAGGCGCTGCCCGAATTGGGGCGCTACAACCCTCTTGCCCTATTTTTCAGATACGCTTGGTTGTAGAAGAAGGATTGAACCAGCTGTCATACTCAGAATGTACTGTCATAACACCAACAGGCAAGTCTAAAATTGTGCAAGCATTGCCCTTAAATGAGTACTAGGGTGTCGTTAGATATTTCTTGGTTTCCTTGTCACAATGCCGAATTGCCTTGACATTCTGGCCGATTAATAAAGTTACTTTGGATCTTAATAGAGTTCCCCAATTCATGGCCACCATTTTCCACACAGGATCTCCTTACAAAGGCATCAAATTCCTCAGGGGAAGCTGTGGGGTTAGCATCATCCGAAGCGGTAAGATGCATAGCTGTTGCAGGGGATAGTTGTGTCTTGTACAACGGATAGTTGTATCTTGATAATAATGTAGTGAATAACTAGAGTCGTTCATCTGTTATAGGAGAGGCAATGGAGCAAGGGCTACGAGATTGCTGCCGATCCATCCGCATCGGAAAAATCCTCATACAGAGCGATGAAGAAACCCACGAAGCAAAAGTCGTCTATGCAAAGTTCCCCGTTGACGTGGCATCTCGAAAAGTGTTGCTCATGTACCCGATCATGAGTGAGTAGATACGACGTAAAGAGTGTTCTTTAAAAGTTAAGTAGGAAGGACTACTGGAGTGCTCCACTACCAAGAACTGGAGGGGTTAAAATTAATTTAATGATCTTACTACCAGTCATTCAAATAAGCGGAAGCAAATACAAAAAAAGCGTTTGGCGTCGTGAAGAGAATAAAAAACAGGTCCTGCAAGTTTTCAGCAGGGCAATAGTTAATTTAACTGAGGTTACTACTGCCCTGTTGAAAACATGTACGTTTTTTTTTTTTTTTTTTTTTTTTATTGTCTTCACCACGCCAAATGCTCCCTTTGTATTTGCTTCCGCTTCTTGGAATGACTGCATACTGTAAAATACCAGGGGAACACCCATCCAACTTTCACTTGAAACTGGGTCAATCTAGACACAGGCGCTTGCACGGCAAACTCGGCAACTTGTACGGCAACCTGTAACTTCCAGAATTTCGAAGTTTTTCAAATGTTGATAGGGGGCGCTTGAACGACGTGGTGGGCACTTTTACGGTATTACACAATATATATATATAAATATCTCTTCTTTTTTTTTATCACTGAGTGGTTGTATGCTAGTTTGTCCAACACTGTTATTCTTCAAACTATACTCTATCTCCCTAGTTGCCTACAGCATTGTGCAAGTCACAAGTGGGAGGTAGAAGAAAGTCCTTTTTGTATGCTTTTTGAGTGACAAGCTAATCCCAGAGGGGGACAATAGCAACATTCGAGTACAGAAAAGTGGGTTGGGCTAAAAGGGGAATTCCTCCTAACCCCTACTCTCGAACAGCTTGCATCATGCTTTTCTCCCCTACACTCTCACCAGTTAAGGCTGCTCATAACTGGTAAGATAGTGTATACCATAAAATACCGGGCAAGCGCCCACTCAAACTTTGGAGATAATCGCAAAAAAATGGGGGATGTGCACTTGTCCGGCCATCAATTTTACATATAAATGTACTGTGCTTATTTTCTCAGATCTCGCAAGTTTTGTAATGGGCACTTCATGTGGAATGGGCGGGGATGCGTGGTATTCTACGGTAGTTTCAGAGACGTAAAATATTCTTAGAAAAGTGGAAAAGAGTGTTTACTTACATACTTGTTTTGCATTTGAGGAAGTTTGTTTTGTGTCCATTCCATGATCTTGGATGCTTATTTGTTGACAGGTACGGGAAACACGGTGATCAAATCAGTGCGAGTGCTTAAGGAGCATGGAGTTCAAGAAGAGAACATCTTTCTGCTGAATCTTTTCTGCACTCCTCATGGTAATACACCTTTTATTAGCATACATCGACTAGGAAACTCAGTTGTAACTTTTCATCACCCTTATGTAGAAACTACAGAAGACTTCCTCACAAACCTGTGTGTGAGCATATCTCTAACCCTGTTTTTGGAGACGTCTTGATTCATGAGTTTCGCAATTGCATAAGCATTGTCACCAAAGTTGTGCAGCTTTCATTTTTAATCAAAATCTGTGGTGTTTTCGTTTTGCAGGTGCAAGGCTGGTAATGCATGCCTTTCCCAACATGACAGTGCTGACATCTGAGCTGCATCCAATGGCTCCAAATCACTTTGGGCAGAAATACTTTGGAACAGATTGATTATCACCCTTATGTATGTTTTACAAAATGTTGGTTATTTCTAGCTTTCTTCCATATGTGCTATGTAGAGTTTTAGAAATGTGTGCTGTGATGACTCTTGATTGACAAGAGCAAGCATTTTAGTCATTTAACTAAATTAAAAGTTATGTTTACCAAAATCACCCCGTGTTAATTGTCTTTCGGTTTTGATTTGGCTAGACTTCCCTAGTATAAGTCGTGTGCCTGAAGGAATTGCCCATAGGCCACTTTCCAAAAAAACACGTCTTATTATTTTTTTTTTTTTGGGGGGGGGGGGGGGGAGGGGGCACATAACATGAGCAATTTCAAAAGTTATAACAAAAGAGCAATTTTCGACTAAAATATTTTTTCCTAAATATAAAATTTCAAAATTAGCTTCAATGTCAAATTTTGATTTCAGATCTGTTCCCTTCTGAAATTTGTCTTCTAGATTAAAAATATTGCCAACAGGCACCCGTTTGCATGAAAAAAAATATCCTCGGGCATCAAGCTTGTCTGGCGTAAAGATAGCGGAACTCTAAACTAAAATCCAGGGCAACGTTACTAGAACCCTCAGTTGGGAAACTCGCCGTTGAAACCTGGACCGCTGGCGTCCACCGAGACCGAGCTAAATACGACAGCAGCCCCACCCTTTATCATTTGTCTTTACTGTGGTCCCCTTGAACTTTCAGACGCATGTTTTTGCGTAAAAACCAACGGGAAAAACTAATTTTGTAGTAACTTTTATTGGAGTTTATTACAAATTGAGGGCGCGTGATGTTTTCTAAAATCTTGTTTGCTTGTAAGGTTTTGCGGCACAATTAATACAACCATGCCTCAGCGGTGATTTCAGGTAACGCGTACCGACCAACGTTGGTCCCGACCTAGGTGCATCTTAGCCTTCCCGGACATGTTCCAGGTTTCGCGACCGGGGTGTGCGTTCATTTGCTTTGAAGCTGTGCAAAAAAGAGCAGCTCTCTTCAAAACATGCCCCAAAACACGCCGGATTCCATCTGATCGCCGTGAAGTGACTCGTCGACACTGTATATACTGTGTTATTTGATACCTTTCTCAAATCCTGTTTGGATAATGCGGCACCGTGGGGTACGTACATTATATGTTGTTTGACTGATGAGGCTCGTTGAAGTTTATCCCCGCAGGGGGCACTTGTGAAAGCAGGTGTTTGGTGAGTGGCGTCACCACGGACCCCGAGCCATGAGGGTTCGCCCGCCCACGTGTGGCTGTGCGTGGCTTTCCCGTGTTCGAGGAAAAGGGCATCCTGGTGGTTGAGTCGAGCCCGGGGTAGGTTTGGACCCTTCGGGGCCCCCCGGGTGAGGCAATACACCACTTCGGCCCCCGCTTCTCGTAGACGGGAGTCCTGGTAAGGCCCGGCCAGGATGATTCAGCCTAGTCGCCACTTCTACTATCCCCTCCTCTCTTTCACCCTTGTCTTCTCCTTCTTTTCACTCTTCTTTCTTTTTTCAACTCCTTTGGCGGCAAGGGCGAACCTTGGGTGGCGACAGACTTCTTGTCCAGAACCACACTTGGGTATAGTACCTGGGCAGTGCTAATAGCGTAACGTCTCCAGCAAAGCCCTGTTTGTTATGGTGCGTTACCTATTCCCGCGTTGGGCTCCGTGGTGGGCGGCACACCACAGGTTCTGAAGACTCTCCGCCTCTTATGGCTCCCCCTTCCTCCAAACCGAACACGGCGCGTGCCCCTAAAAAGAGGTTGCTCCGTACTTACTTTCGAGAAAGCATCCGAACCGCCAAAGTTTCCAAGATTTTTTGTCATTCAAGCCCTAGATGAAGAAAAGCCACTGGCTAAGCTGTCGCCTTTTCTAGTTTCAAAATGTCTTGATGCCATTATTGGCAAAGCTCTCAAGGCGAAAAAGCTTTCTGGTAACCTTGTCGAGGTTGAAACAGAAGTTCAAAGCAGGACGCTTCTAAAACAGACATGTCTAGGCGAACACCAGATAAAAGTCGGCCCACATCGGACACTGAATAGTGTTCGAGGTGTTATCTCTGAGCCTGATCTGATAGATTGCACTGAGGATGAAATTCTGGCTGGACTGCAGAAACGGGCAGTGGTGGCCGTCATGCGGATCATTATCCGTAAAGACAGGCAGGAGCAGCCAGCCAAGCATTTGATCCTGACTATTGAACTGCATACGCTTCGTACGACCTTTTATCCTCAACCCACAAAGAAGTTTCCGGTGTCAGCGCTTCGGGCATGGCTCGTGAAACTGTCGGGGCCGTGAAACTTGAGCAAAGTGTCAGCAACGACCATGTTGCTGACATTTGTGAGAATACTCTCAACTGTGTTAACTGCCAAGGCAACCATGCTACTTATGCTAGAACATGCCCACAATGGAAGCGGGAAAAAGAAATCCTAACCCTTAAAGCACAAAAGAACATTACCTACCAAGAGGCAAAACAACAGTATTCCTTTTTCGCAAAAGGAACGTTTGCGCAGGCGGTGCAAAGGGGACCAGCACCGCGAACAGAATTGAAGGCCACTCGGGTCTCTCCTGAGGTCCTGGCTGTGGCTCTTCAGCCCCCAACCCCCAGCAGCGGCAGCAGCTTCCCCCGGTTTCTGGAGGAAGCGCACCAGCTGCCTCTCGACCAGGGCCGTACCCAGAAAAACATTTCGGGGGGGGGGGGGGGGGGGTTCGGGGACAACGGCGGCCATTTTGAAAGTGTCTATTGTCTTATTTTCGCCTATGAATCATGTGCAGCGGTGGCATATAATGGAGAGTTGCAGCAAACCGGTCCCGGTTTGGTACCCGGTAGCCGACCGGCGCCACTGCGTGTGCGCAGATGTGGAGATTAAAATCGGCTGGCTGCAAGTGCACCGACCAGGGCTGTACCCAGAAAAAAATTTCGGGGGGGGGGGGGGGGGGGGGGGGGGGGGGGGGCGGGCGGGCGGGGAGGGGTCAGAACCCCCTAACCCTCCCCCCCTGGTTACGGCCCTGCTCTCGACCACGGGACGGGCAGGGAGCACCCCTATCTGTCTCCACTCCAAGGTGTCTCCCTAGGGAGAAGGAGCGAGAGTCTCGCCCCAACTCACGGGAGAGGGCCTCGTCCAAGGAGCGGCATCACGCCGCTCCTTCAACAGCTGAAGGGCGGGGACGGATGGAGTTGGGCGACGTTCAGCCCAGCACCTCCACTGCTGCCCCTTGGAGTGAGGGCGGTCGTGGCCGGGGAATCCGGCCCCGTGCCTCGACTTTGCCCAGACCTACACAAAAAGGCTCGTCTCAAGAGGTGGAGGCGAGCCTCAAGATTGAAACATGGCCCCTGTACCAGGAGCGACTAAACGTTTTCTTCATTATACTCAACATCGTCGAGGAGTCCCCAATATGCGCAGTCCCGTGTAGCGTTTGTGGACCGACAATCTACTCCGTCGTATGCTCGTTGTGTGTGCCAGTGGACTCCCTATGCGGACATTGTGTTGGAGCTCACCGCCCACTTCACACCGTGCCTGTCAGTGATTGTTCAGTGCTTTGCGTTTCATAAGTGCAGCCAACAACGTGGAGAAAGCATCTCGAATTTCGTCCCCGCCCCACGCCGCTTCTCCGAACACTGCAACTTTGGTGAGACCTTGTCAGCCATGCTATGGGACCGTCTGGTGTGTGGTGTCCTGGACAAAAGGGTGCAGCGTCGTCCGCTGGGCAAACCAGTGCTGGAGCTCAAAAAGGCGTTTGAGGCTGCAGATCCTTTGCCTTTGTAGGATTTGCAGCAACGACATTGATTTCCGTCAACAGCCTAAAGGGGCACTCAAGTGGATTCTGAGATCGTCTATTTATTGGCATAACTCAATCTATGGGCTTTAAGCATTCTAAAAAACCCAAGATAGCATTCAAGGGCAGCCGATTTTCATAGTAAAAATCCAATTAAAGATTGTGGCACGCCACCTTTTCTGTGCCGTAGCGCAGAACACCAGGCGGTGCCACCGGACAGGAAGGCAGCATGGGAGGGCACGCGACAGCCAGTCACAAGTGACGGCTTCTTGGCGGACTGATTTTTCAAAGGCGCACATGTTTGAAAATTTAGTGTGCCGGGAAGCCATTATTCGTGATTGGCTGTCATGTGCCCTCCCCTGTTGCCTTCCCGTCCGATGGCACCCTCTGGCGTTCTGCGCCACAGGGCAGAAAGGAGGGCATGCCGCAATTTTTAATAGAATTTTAAATAGCGAGATTGACCGCCCTTGTATGTAATTTCGGGTTTCTTAGGATGCTTAGAGTCCATAGATTGAGTTATGACATAAAATAGACGATCTCAGAATCCACCTGAGTGCCCCTTTAAGATGATGACCGCCTTCTTTATTGAAAGTAGCTACCCACTCAGCGTTCTGTGCAGTACGAGCAGTCGCGTCTCTAACATTTCGCGACACAACTCTCTATTTCCCCAACCAAGATCTAAACCACCATGCAACACCCTCATCATCACGTTCCATCCCTCCATACCCAGGCTCAGCAGACTAATCATCGAGACCACTTTCCACCTGGTAGACTCTACAGTTATCTCTAAAGCACCCGCCCTAACGTCCTATCGAAGCACAACTTACGATCCCTTCCAGTATGCAGCAACCACTCCGAAACCCCCTCATCTTCACGTTCCATCCCCCCATACCCAGGCTCGGCAAACTAATCATGGAGACCACTTCCCACCTCATAGACTCTACAGTTATTTCTAAAGCACCCACCCTAACTTCCTATCGACAGCCCATCTTACGATCCCTTCAGTATGCAGCAACCACTCCGAAACCCCCTCATCTTGACGTGCCATCCCTCCATACCCAGGCTCGGCAAACTAATCATGGAAACCACTTCCCACCTCGAAGACTCTACAGTTATTTCTAAAGCACCCGCCCTAACTTCCTATCGAAGCCCAACTTACGATCCCTTCCAGTATGCAGCAACCACTCCGAAACCCCCTCATCTTTACGTTCCATCCCTTTGTACCCAGGCTCGGCAAACTAATCATGGAAACCACTTCCCACCTCAAAGACTCTACAGTTATTTCTAAAACACCCGCCCTAACTTCCTATCGACAGCCCAACTTACGATCCCTTCCAGTATGCAGCAACCATTCCGAAACCCCCTCATCTTTACGTTCCATCCCTCCATACCCAGGCTCGGCAAACTAATCATGGAAA